ACATTTCAGGTAGATCAATTCTGATGGTCAGAATGATCTACTGGAAATGTACTAGGTTACTGTCAGAATGATCTACCTGAAATGGACATCTACCCGCATTTCCCCATCACCTACAGAAGTCAAGCTCCACAGTGTTATATATAAGTACATTCATTCCTTCAACAAATATTTAATGAGAACTTACTATTATTTAATATTTAATGAGTACCTACTATGTCCTACTACTACTACTAGGCCAACCAGTCTAGACACTAGGGATAGAAGAGAGTAAGATGAATTTACATGCCAGTGGTGTGGTAAAGACAGGCATTAAACAAGTTTTGTTTTGTTTTCCGGGTAGTGAGTGATAAGTGCTATAGAGAAAAATAGAGCAGGAGAAGGAGGTAGAGAGTGACAGGAGCAGGGGCAAGGGGTGCTCTTTTAGACAGGATGGGCAGGCAAGGTTGAGGGAAGATGTGTATGAGCAGACATCTGAATATGATCGGGAACTGAAAATGGGATGATGTGGCGATGAGTTTTCCTTGCAGAGAATAGCAAATGGAAAGATCCTGAGGCAGGGACACCTCTGGTGGCTTAGAGGACCTACAAGGTGGCAGGATAGCAGAGTCATTAAGATGGCCAGGAGTCAAATCAGATAAGGACATGGGGTAAACTGTAGGCTGGGCTCACAGGTTGTTGTGAGAGTCATAGGAGACTATTGGTGGGTTTTGAGTAGGAGAATCACATTTACTTTTTGTTTTTCAAAAAGCATTTTGGCTGCTATGCAGGCCTGCCTGTATTAAAGGCTAGAATAGAAGCCAGGAAAGCAATAGTCAAGGCAGAAGACAGAAGATCAGGATGGTGTAGGCTTGGGTGGCAGTAATGGAAGTAGTGAGAAGCAGTCAGGTTCCAGATACAGTCAGGCTGAATACAGAACTGGCTGGCCTGACTGATACATTAGAAGGGGTGTGGGGAGGAAAAAGAGGCCCTGAGGAGCCACTAAGGTTTTTGGGAGGAGCAACTGGATGAATGGAATGGGCTGGTGGTTGAGCAGGTTTGGAGTACTTGAGTAGAGTGGGGGAAACAAGAATTCTCTTTGGGACATACTCAGTTTGAGATCATTTCAGACTTGGAAGAAGTTGGTTATACCAGTCTGGAGTTTGCGGAAGACGTCAGGATGGAATCGCAACTCTCATGACTCATCTTACAGTCCATATGTACACCAGCGAATGAAACATCCAACTGATTGACTTGTGGTTGACACGTATGATGTTTACGTATGACGTTTTGTGGTTGGTGCCTTTATTTGTGTCATCTTCTCTGCTGGGAACACCCCTTCAACTTTTCCACCTTTGGCTGAGTCTTGCCCTTTAAGGTAAGCCCAGGAAACATGGAGAAACCCTGTCTCTACTAAAAATACAAAATTAGCCGGGCGTGGTGGCACATGCCTGTAATCTCAGCTACTCGGAAGGCTGAGGCAGGAGTCCCAGATACTCGGGAGACTGAGGCAGGAGAATCGCTTGAACCCGGGAGGCAGAGGTTGCAGTGGGCCGAGATCGCGCCATTGCACTCCAGCCTGGGCAACAAGAGCAAAACTCTGTCTCAAAAAAACAAAAACAAACAAACAAAAAAAAGGTAAGCCCGGGCATCCTCTCCTCAAAAAGCTTTCCCTGAACACTGGGAGTCAAGAGTCTCTCATCAGTACCTCTGTGGTTCTGACCTCATTAAAGTTGCCTAGTAGAGTCTCCAGGGCAGGGCCTGCCTAACTCATCGTCGTATGCTCAGGGCCTTGCCCTGAGCCTGGCACACCGTTAGGAGCACTAAACATACGCAAGGGCAGGAACCCGTCAGAAGACCCACCCACTCAAGGAGAGGGCCGGGGAGGACCGGAACGACTGGGGAGGAGGAGACGGGTTCCAGTCACTTCCTCTGTGAACGTGAGATCCCGCTCTTCCCTCAGGGCCGGCCCCTGCCTCCCCGCAGCAGGGCGCCCCTCCACTGTCCTGGTTTACCTGTGAGTGGAGGGGAGGAGGAGACGGGTTCCAGTCACGTCCTCCGTGAACGTGAGACCCTGCTCTTCCCTCAGGGCCGGCCCCTGCCTCCCCGCAGCAGGGCGCCCCTCCACTGTCCTGGTTTACCTGTGAGTGGAGGAGCGCTAGGAGAGTTGACATCGGTTGTGGTGGAAGCACTAGGCTGTCACCCGCGGGAGAGGTAAACCGAAGCATGCCCGCCACTCGTGTGAAACCATGGCCAGTCAGAGCCACCCGTGGAACTGGCCCGGGCCGCACCCTGTCCTCTGGCGCTCCCCGACACGCACGCGAGTGCCGAGCCAAGTTCGTCCAGCGCGGCCCCGGCGTCTGGGGCCCCGGCTCGGAGTAGGGGCAGGTCGGGGCCCCCAAGAGGCCACGACCGGAGGCAGGCCCCTTGCTCGGGCCCGTTGCCGCCCAGCCCCGCGCCGCCCGCCCGCCCGCCCTCGCAGTACACACCGGTGGGAAGGAAGAGCGCCTCCTGCGCGGGTTGGGCTTCCGGGCTGCCGGCGCCGTCCACCCTCTTGGGTCCGAGCGGCGAAGCCTGGGCCATGGCTCTGCTGCAGCTGCGGGTGGCGTCCGGATAGCGAGATCCCGGAAGTGCCCTGGCTGCACTAGGTTTCGTTTTCTCAAATCTGGGCTGTTGCTTTCAGTCACTAGCCAGCCCGGAGAAAGCTGGATGTGCAGATAGGGGTTCTCACGCACACTGCTCCGGATTCAAGTCTAGTCTAAATTTGAATAGCTTAAAAAACCCAAACGCCGGGCATGGTGGCTCACGCCTGTAATCCCAGCACTTTGGGAGACCGAGGAGGGCGGATCACGAGGTCAGGAGTTCCAGACCAGCCTAACCAACATAGTAAAACCCCATCTGTACTAAAAATACAAAAATTAACTAGGCATGGTGGCGCGTGCCAGTAATCCCAGTTACTCCAGAGGCTGAGGCAGGAGAATCGCTTGAACCGGGAGGAGGAGGTTGCAGTGAGCCGAAATCAAGCCACTGCACTCCAGTCTGGGCTACAGAGCGAGACTCCCGTCTCAAAAACAACAACAAAAAAACCCCAAATGCCAGGCTTTCCTACTCCACCCCCCACGACTCAGCAGGAGAAACACTCACTCTCCTGAGGATTCCTCCTAAAAACTTTTACCATACTGGCCGGGAGGGCGCGGTGGCTCACGCCTGCAGTTCCAGGACTTTGGGAGGCCGAGGTAGGCGAATCACGAGGTCAGGAGTTCGAGACTGGCCTGGCCAACATGGCGAAATCCCGTCTCTACTAAAAATACAAAAATCAGCCGGGCTTGGTGGCGGGCACCTGTAATCCCAGCTACTCCGGAGGCTGAGGCAGAAGAATCGCTTCAACCCAGGAGATCACGGGTGAGCCGAGATCACGCCACTGCACTCCAGCCTGGGGGACAGAGCAAGACTCCGTCTCAAAAATAAATAAATAAATAAAAATAAAAAAAAAATTATACTGAGTTTGGCCTAAATAAGCATATCTTAAAAGGACGCAGAATTAACTGATCCTAAATCCAGTTGCCAGTAGCAAGTCTTTATTTAGCACCCATAGGGTACAGAGCACCATATAAGATGAGGTTTTCAGTGAATCTAACAAATAGGTAGAGAATATAAATGCATATACTTATAGTTAAAAAATAGTTGTTCTGGAAAAAAGACATATAATAGTTGGTGGTTTGCTGAGGAATTAATCAAAGGAAAACTGGAGGTCTTCCACTTTCAGCAGGTTGTAAAGAAGAAGACTGCCAACTAGGGATAGCAGAAGAGAGAAACATTAAAAAGGACAATTTGTATAGTCTTGACAACTATGAAATGAATTGCAGAAGAGTGTGGAGTCTGCAAAACAGGGAAGTGAGCAGGCCCTAGCAGCCAATTATTATTATTATTATTTTTTTGCCCTCCACGCAGGAGGATGGAAGAGTATTTCTTGTAGGCCAAAATGAAAGGCCCTAAAGAGACTGACATTAGGGTGTTCCCCAGCAAAATAGCTCAGGTAGGTCATAGAAAAACAAACAGCCCTTTACCACACACTCAGTTTACAGTAAGCTTTTTGGTGTTCCACACTTAAATATGAGTAGACTACCAAGACCATTAACTCTGAGGAAAGCCTGTAATGTGAATGAGACCAAAACAAACATATAGGGGAAACCAAGAAACAAACTCTGGAGGACACAGATTATGCAGAAAGAATATAGAGATGCATGCATGTGTATGTATACGTGTGTGCATATACATACATAAACATACAAACATCTTCAAAGAGATAAAATACTGCAACTATGAGCCAAAATAGGATGCTATTAAAAAAATATTCAGAGAAGGGGAGCTCTTAGAAATTAAAAATATGAGACAATATGAATCTAGGAAAATAAAATGCAACAGATGAACTGGAAGATTAAATTGAGAAATGGTCCTAGGAAAAGGTCTTAGCAAGAAGACAGACCTGAAAGTTAAGAGAAAAGGTAGGAAAATTAGAGATCAAACTCTGGAGGTCTAACATCTGGAAAAGAAAGAGAGAAGAGATGGGAAATCATTAGTTTCAGACTCAATGATCCCACCAGGCACCTAATACAAAGGATGAAAATGGACTCTTAACAGGGACAGAACATTGAGACAAAGATAAACCTATAAGCTTCCAGAGAGATAAAAACAGATTATGCAAAAGAGAAGGAACAGAATGGCATTCGATTTCCAGTAGTCACCCTGGAAGCCAGAAGACAGTACATTTTCAGACTCCACAGCAGCAGCACTGAAAGCTAGCAGATGTCTTCAAAACTGGGCATGGAGACCACTAAAGAATTCTATACCTTGCCAACCAAAACAGCAATCAAGTATAAGGGTAAAATAAAGACATTGTCAAACACACAGAGATTCAAAACATTTACTTCTCATTTTTCCTTTTCAAAAGCTATTAGAAGAGCTTTACCAATATGTGGAAGAGTAAACCAAGGAAAAGGAAAATAATGGGATCTAACTGGAAACAGATCTGACATAAGAGACAAAGTGAATCTCTGGGGTACTGATGGAAGATGATAGCTATGAACAGTCCAGACTAAAGCACATTAAGATTTTAGGAGAAATTTCTCCAAGATAAAACTGACAGAATATCTCATATTCCTAAAGGTCAAATGGACTCCACAGGCAGAGCTCAAGGAAATACTGACTGATCCATAATATTCTCTTTTGCACAAAAATAGTTCCTGTACTGATCCAAGTTTTTTTCCCCCCCACTTCATTTTAGTGCATTGCCTGAAATTCCTGCATCTCTACGGTGAATAAATGGATTTCTCAACTTTCCTCTTCTGTAGGTTGCTGGGCTGTTTTGCTCCTTTCCCTAGCTGTCTGGTTTCCCAGTCTGCTTGGCCTTCCCAGTCCCCTTTTCCAATAGATAGATGATTAGGGCCAAGTAACCTATGGTAAAGTGCTTATTCTTTCCCTTTTTTCTGTAAAAAAAAAAAAAAAAAAAAAAAAAATAACAAGGCATAGTGGCACATGCCTGTGGTCCCAGCTCGTGCCACTGCACTCCAGGCCCGGCGAAAGAGGAGTGATTGGAAAAAAAAAAAAAAAAAAAAAAAAAAAATTTGCAAATCATGCCCAGGAGATACCAAGGGGCTGTTTCAGATTTCACAGTTCAGAATTGTTTTCGTGCGTGTGTGTGTGTGAGTGCTGTGTTGTTTTTTGGAGACTGGGTCTTGCTCTATTGCCTAGTCTGGAAGTACTATGGTGAAATCACATCTCATTGCAGCCTTGACCTTCCAAGCTCAAATGATCCTCCCACCTCACTCCTGAGTAGCTGGGACTACAGGCACATGCCATCATGTCAGGCTAATTTTTGCATTTTTTGTAGAGACAGGGTTTTGCCATGTTGCCCAAGCTGGTCTCAAACCCCTAGGCTCAAGTAATACGCCTGCCTCGGCCTCTCAAAGTATTGGGATTACAGGTTTGAGCCACCATGCCTGGCCTTCTTGTGCTTTTTAAGAGAAATTTTTGCCCAGCCCAATTACTTCTGGCCTAAATAAGCCAAGTTTGACTACTTTCTAGGTTTCCTTTTCAATAACTGTATCTCTAACTCTACCTAGAACAAAAATATTCAAGTTCCTCCAGGTTTCTATTCCCTCTTGTCCTATCTTTTTGTATTGAAAGAGTAGAGAAAATCTGTGGAAAAGAAGATTCATTTCAAAGAGTTTGCCAGAATCTTACTTACAGAAGAGGTTCTCCCTCTCTTCACTCACATGGTTGATGGGACAGTGTTTTATGGATCCAGATATTGCTTCTCCAACAAGTGTTAAAATACTTGGGAGTAACATGCATAAAATTAGTTCCTCAGGCGCTGTTGCCCACCTTGTAGCTCATAATGGTAAATGATTTGCCAGGAATTAAAAATCAATTTTGTAGGTAAAAATGTGAAATTTAGCTCTCCGGCGGGGGGGCATGAACTAAAAGGTAACAGTCACAAAGCAATTAGAAACAGCTGAGTTCTGTTATGACATTTGTTTCTCTTAATATATAATTTGTAAATAAATTATAAGTTGTACAGTGGTATTTCATGTAAAATATACACTTCTATCCTACTCATGTAAAGTAGTACAGCAGTGAACGAGATACCCTATGTGTATGAAAATGTCCTAATTGTGTTCTTGGAATTTCTAAGTCACACAAATAAAATCTGAAATAAAATATGAACCCCATGACAAAGGAAAACGGAGGGGAATTACCTTGATGGACCTAGACCTTCTTTTGCATGGCTTTAATTTCAGCCTAATAAGCTAATTTCACAAACAGGCGTTAGCTACATATTTATAATATTTTTTTTCTACATTTATTAACCCCACATTGGCAGAAGATTTCCTTCTCAGGCACAGTCCCAGCTTCATAACCATAATCCCATGTTAGCTCTGTTCTTGCTTTCACATACCTAGAAAGCAGAAATTTGAAAAGAATCATAAAATACCCTAAATTAACTACCAATGAACCAAATTATATCAATTTTCATATTAACATTAACCATCCTCAAAAATATGATCTATTCGCTCACCTGACACCCACCAATTAGGAATGACCTTTTATTAAGAATAACCATTTGAGTTTTATTTCAAATCTACTAAAATGTCAAGCAGGAACCTATCAATATGAGGAAGGAAGTATATTTTGCCAACAGTGGGACCCAGTCATGTGTTGAGGCCTGCAGTGTGGAAGTAGCTGGGGAATGGCTCTGAATTAAAAATTATGTAGCACTCTGCATCATTTATCCCGAGTGGAACTGGGTGATACCTGATATCTTCAGTCCTTTCAGGCATTCATTCTAAGTGGGAATAAGAGTTGAAATTTCAGGTATTCAAAATCCTTTTTTTTTTTTTTTTTGAGACGGAGTCTCGCTCTGTCACCCAGGCTGGAGTGCAGTGGCCGAATCTCAGCTCACTGCAAGCTCCGCCTCCCGGGTTTACACCATTCTCCTGCCTCAGCCTCCCGAGTAGCTGGAACTACAGGCGCCTGCCACCTCGCCCAGCTAGTTTTTTGTATTTTTTAGTAGAGACGGGGTTTCACCGGGTTAGCCAGGATGATCTCCATCTCCTGACCTCGTGATCCCCCCGTCTCGGCCTCCCAAAGTGCTGGGATTACAGGCTTGAGCCACCGCACCCGGCCTCAAAATCTTATTGAATAGGAACAGTTTAGGATAATTGAATATTCTACAGTACCAGATATTTGGGGCTATAGTATATATCTTCTTTAAAATATTTTTCTATTGTAATTATCAGTTTTTGAGACAGGGTTCAAACTCTACCTCTTGGACTCAAGTGATCCTCCCACCCCAGCTTCCCGAGTAGCTGGCCACCACACCTGGCGAACTTTTTGTATTTTTTTTTAGTAAAGACAGGGTCTCGGCATGTGGCCCAGGCTGGTTTCAAACTCCTGAGCTCAAGCAATCTCCCCGCCTTGGCCTCCCAAAGTGCTGGGATTACAGGTATGAGCCATGGCACTCAGTCCTCTATTGTTATTTTTAAAGTCACAATTTCCTCAGAATTAAGTAAGCAAAATCAATTTCAAACCTGTTGGTGAAGAATGCCACCAGTGGAAAATTCCTGTTGTGTGTTTCTACAAAAACATTCTGTACCAAGAGATTTGGGCAACAACTATGCTGTTAAATAAAAATAAACACAAAGGTTAGAAATAGCATAAAGTCTGATGCCTTGTGCTTTTGCATTAGAATACCATTCTGTTTTTAATACATCACACTGACTTTGTTCTTTTTTTGTTAATGTATAAAATATCACAGCTGCTGTTAATAGTGGGAACCCATTCAGAAAAGCCCTGTTCTGATACTTTTATATGTTGCTGTTAGAAATGCAAAAATGGGACAAATCCCTATAAAATATATCAAAATTTATCATTATTATAAATGCATTTGTCTTTTGATTCTGCAATCTCATATCTAGAATTGTATTCCACAGATTCATCTGCATATGTTTCCATGTGTAAAATTATTCATTGAGCATTGTTTTTAATGTTAAAGGTTTGGAAATAACCCAAATATTTGCCTAAAGTGGACTGGTTGAATAAACTTTGGTACACAATAGAATTCTATGTGGCTATAAACAAAAGTGTACAAATAAAAAGAATGAGCAGCTCTGGGTATTAATATGGAAAGATTGCCACGATATACTTTTTTTTTTTTTTTTGAGACGGAGTCTCACTCTGTCGCCCAGGCTGGAGTGCAGCGGCATGATCTTGGCTCACTGCAACCTCCACCTCCCAGGTTCAAGTGATTCTCATGCCTCAGCCTCCCAAGTAACTGGGACTACAAGCGCCTGGCTATTTTTTTTGTATTTTTAGCAGTGACAGGGTTTCACTATGTTGGCCAGGCTGGTCTTGAACTTCCGACCTCAAGTGATCCACCTGCCTCAGCTTCCCAAAGTGCTGGGATTACAGGCATGAGCCACCACACCTGGCCCAATATACTGTTAATCTGAAAAACAAAGTATAGAACAGTGAATATAATATGCTATGTTTTATGGTAAAAAAAAAAAAAGGGGGGGGGGGGTGGGGGGCGGGAGAAATAAGGCCAGGTGCGGTGGCTCACACCTGTAATCCCAGGTGTGGGATTTTGGGAGGCCAAAGAGGGCAGATCACTTGAGGTCAGGAGTTTGAGACCAGCCTGGCCAACATGGTGAAACTGTATCTCTACTAAAAATACAAAAGTTAGCCAGGCATGGTGGTGCACACCTGTAATCTCAGCTACTCAGGAGGCTGATGGGGAGAATCGCTTGAACCCAGGAGGCAGAGATTGCAGTGAGCTGAGATCGTACCACCGCACTCCAGCCCGGCAAAAGAGCGAGACTCAGTCTCAAAAAAAAAAAAGAATAAAAATGATGACCTAAAGAGAGAAGGTGGAGTGGGGGCATGGGAATGGGAGCACAGTACTTCTCAAGGTATGGCTTTTGTTTTTTCTTTTTTTTAAAAAAAAGTTTTCACAAAGTAAGTTTAACATGAAGATGTACAGAACCTAATGTTTACTTCACTGTAACAAACAAGCCTTTTGGAGAGGAGATATTGTAAGTAACGAGTTTCACTGCTGAAGACAGCCATTATGTAGCTTCGTTTCAAGGCTTCTAGAAAGATGATACCATTGACTCATATTAGCACTATTCCAGTATTGCTCTGTTGCCCACTAGCTGCGAGCTCCACACATTCATCATGGGATTCATTAATGCCTGTAATTTCAGCTACTCAGGAGGCTGAAGCATGAGAATCGCTTGAACCCCAGAAGTGGAGGTTGCAGTGAGCCAAGATTGTGCCACTGGTGACACAGTGAGACTCCATCTCAAAACAAACGAACAAACCCCCAAAAACAGTATATTGTGGCAATCTTTCCATATTAATACACCATTAAATCCCTGCAGTATTCTTTGGACATATCTGCCACCATTTAATTTCACTGATAACTTCCTATCCATACATTTTTTTCAACTCAGGTAAATGAGCTTATTTAAATCTGATATATTTAAATACTTTTCTTATACACCATTTCTTACAGTTTTTTTTTGAGACGGAGTCTCGCGCTGTGTCACCCAGACTGGAGTGCAGTGGCGCGATCTTGGCTCACTGCAAGCTCCGCCTCCCAGGTTCACGCCATTCTCCTGCCTCAGCCTCCGAGTAGCTGGGACTACAGGCGCCCGCCACCACGCCCGGCTAGTTTTTTTTTTGTATTTTTAGTAGAGACGGGGTTTCACCATGTTAGCCAGGATGGTCTCGATCTCCTGACCTCGTGATCCACCCGCCTCGGCCTCCCAAAGTGCTGGGATTACAGGCTTGAGCCACCGCGCCCGGCCTCTTACAGTTTTTAAAAAGCAAATGTTTACTATGTGCTGGCACTGTTCTAAGCACTTTATTATAATTCATTAGATTCTCATAACATCCTGAGACAGTTATCATTTGTCCCCATATTACAGAGGTAGAAAATGATGTATCAGAGGTCAAGTAAAACATCCAACAGTATACAAGTGGAGGACTGGAATTCTAACCAGATGGTCTGACTTTAGAGTCTGTTTATCTTATTTTCCTCATAATTATGTTAAGTAGCATAGAAAAACAGTTGTTCAGAAATAGGAATCTCAGCCCTTATACTCACATTAAGGAAGCGGCCGACATTTCCTTCTTTTGTGGCATCCAATAAAAACACATTCCCTTTGTTGAACTTTGTTAGAGAATCAGATGAAGTGTTCTTGGTTTCACTTAGCAATTCTTCATCACAAAAGACCTGCTGTTTTTGACATGCTGTAGATCGTCCCTCTTGGGGTTTCTGTATTTGAACCTCAACTGCCTTTTTAATATTCTGATTATCCAATGTGGTCGCCTGGTTACATCTGCTCCTTGGTGGAGTTTCTTCTCTACATTTAGTTATATCTATCACATCTGATTCAGTCAGCAGATTATCTTCAAAATCATCAACATGGTTTGAACTTGAGTCCTCTAGTAGATATTTTGGAAGGAAACATTAGGAAATATACTTGCTGAGCAATAGTGCTGAAATTAACAACACTAATTAGATGCTAGGTGCTTTAATTATCAATCCTTACAATGTGTTAGGCAGGTAGTATTAATTATATAAAGGAAACTTTGAGTCTCTGAGGGATTAAGGAATTCATCTGACCCACAATAATGAGAACTGGGGTAACAAACCCAGAAATGTTTGAATCCCAAAGTCTGCCTTCTCTCTACTACGTAAAAATGCCTTTTTATGAATCTACATCTTGCTTCTTCATTACTATATTTAATCTCTACTCTTAATAAAAACTGACTTTCTTCTCTTTAATTCTGGAATCTGCACTTAAGTATATTCTAAACAAATGTAACAGAGTGGGTGTTTTGGAGGCACTCTAGGCCTTTACGCTGCCAATAAAAGGTCTAACTCTGACAGAGTCACCTTCCACAAGTCCCAGCAGTGACAACTGTATTGCTAGGGGTTTTGCACATATTAGTGTTTGGTGTTTTACTAGATGACCATTCAATAATTACACTTTTGTAAACAATAATCCTTTAAAAGCAGATGCACTGATTAATCGTTTTTCTTATCCAATAAGGAAAATAGTTTTTTGAAAGTATTCAAAAGTATGAATATGGCTGGGCTTGGTGGCTCACGCCTGTAATCCCAGCACTTTGGGAGGCCAAGGCAGGAGGATGCTTGAGGCCAAGAATTCAAGACCAGTCTGGGCAACAAAGTGAGACCCCATCTCTACAAAAAAATTAAAAAAAAAAGAAATTAGCCAACAAGGGGGTGTGTGACTGTAGTTCTGGTTGCTCAGGAGACTGAGGTGGGAGGACTGTTTGAGCCCAGGAACTGGAAGGTACAGGGAGCTATGATCCCACCACTGCACTCCAGCTTGGGTGACAGAACGAGTCTTTGTCTCTCTTAAAAAAAAAAAAAAGGTATGAATGTATGTCAGATGGAGTAAGTATAAATTACTTATTTTAAAAGAGCCACAAAGCTACTTGGACCACCTAATTCAATGGCACAAAGATATTATACCTGTTTAAAATTAAGGCTCTTAATTTAATCATCACTGTTGTTGCTGGCTGCTGTTCCTACATGTACTCATATTTTAATCATGGGTTACATGTAAGCCATAATACAACTCTGGATTTTTTTATACAAAAAGTACATAGCTGTTGACTTTTAGAGTACCCACTACATATATTGTAGTACTCAATGAAAAGGGCAAAAGAACCAAAAGCAACGGTATGCATTGTGGCTCACATGCATGATAAAATAAATATAATGCACAAAATCCCCTTTCTCGATAAACCTTTTCTATCAAGGAACTGCCATGTCTCCTCCAATCTCCATCCTTTAATATTAGGTGGAGAGCTGGGGTTGCAGGGGAGAAGAGGCAGCAGTGGCTCACCAATTCTTCACAAATGGACATGTCTCAGCAATGTCTCCTTGTGAAGGACACAGTGAAATGCAAAAGTACCAAAAATAAGGTTTGTTCAGTTGTAATATTAACTGCGGCAAGGACTAGTAACTCTGAAACACAAGGACTCAGGGTGGCAATATTTTAGCCTTTTGCCAGAGTCATGCTGAGTATGCTCTGTGGCAGTATTGGCTAGGCAACTGCAGGAGAGTGATGTGTGTTTATTTTTAAAGCCATCTACAAAGAGTTTGAAAGTGGCTGCTTTGCACGATGGTTCCAAAGCCATGGACAACACCTGTACACCACAGAGAGTCAGAGTTGTCTGGCTCACCCCTCTTGCCATGCATCAAGTCACTACTGGTAATTAGACCAGAGGCCAGCAAAGTTCTTCTGTAGAAGGCAAAATAGTAAATATTTTAGGCTTTGCTGGCCATGTGGTTTCTATTGTGATTATTCAACTCTTGTTGTAATGTTGAAGCAGACAATATGTAATGCAAACTGGCTGTATTCCAATAAAACTTACATTTTATTTTTTTTGGGACAGGGTCTTGCTCTATCGCCCAGGCTGCAGTGCAGTGGCACAATCATAGTTCACTGTAACCTCAAACTACTGACCTCAACAATCCTCCCACCTCAGCCCCCTGAGTAGCTAAGACCACAGGTGTGCACCACCACACCTGGCTATTTCTTTGTTGTTGCTGAGACAAGATCTTGCTACATTGCCCAGACTCATGGCCTCAAGCAGCCCTCCTCCTGCCTTGGCCTCCCAAAGTGCTGAGATTACAGGCGTGAGCTACTGCACCTGGCCAAAACTTTATTTCTGGACACTAAAATTGTAATTTCATATAATTTTCAAGTGTCAAAATATTATCGCCTTCTGATTTTTTTCAACTATTTAAAAATGTAAAAATCATTCTTAGCTCACATGCCATACTGAACAGGTAGAGGGCCAGATTTGGCTCACAAACAATAGTTTGCTGATGTCTTATGTAGACAAGTTGTAACCTTTCTGACAAATGCAGCATGTTTATTATGGAATCTAAGAAAATGAGCTACAGGTATTGAGCAAGAGACAGAGAAACAGGCAGAAAAGGTAGGCATTCACAGAAGAAACAAAGCCTACTTTGTGCTCCCTTGGTTTTAGAGTTCAGATGCTCTCGGGGTGGTTTAAATCCATCATTATCTTCTGGAGTGACAGACTCCGAGGAAACAAATTCCTTAAAAAAACAAGGAAGATGTCTTTACTTTCCAGGTCAGGCAAAAGTATTTAGCAGTTAGGCCTCTTTTATCAAGTCAATCATCATAGGCCCTATGTACTAGATTCGTTTTGAAAGCCTCAAAGCTGATATCATAAGGAGTCTTTAGACTAATGGAGGCAAAATGTGTCATCCCCTTTGATTGTGTTCTACTTCTAGGTGCTTTATTAAGCCACAGTTATAAAGACTGTCAAGAAATTCTTTGGGAATGAAAATCTTAATGCATCTGTCTGTATCCCTCAATTCTAATCATCCTCAGTACTGAGAAAGTGTTATTACTAGATTATAAATTTGGCTTCAACTGTAAGTTGTGTAAAGATGAAAAACACTCATTGGCTACTCTCTACCTCAAAGAAAGGTTAACGAATTTGATAGTGCTTACGCATTGTAGACACTGCAGTCACTTTAAGTAGTAATGATAACTTTAAAAGAGGGGTATACGCTCAGCACAATGCTTGACAACCAACTAAGTGTTCAATACACATTGACCATATAATTATTATGAAAGTTCTCAGTATGTGAATGGTCAACATGTATTGAGCAGTTAGTTGGATGCCAAGCATTATGCTAAGCAAGTTGCTGATGTTTATCTCATTTAATCCTCCTAACTCGGAAACATATACTATTATCTTTTTACAGATAAAAGAAATGTATGTATGGAGATACCACCCAGCTAGCAGGCAGCAGAGCTGGAGGTTAAACCTGGGTCTGTGTGACACCATGGCCAATCTTTTCATAATTCTCTGACCCTGAGGTAGCTACTGTACCATTACCAGGCAGAGGTCAAATATTTGCATAACACCTAGAGAAGAGTTTTTACTTTTCATCAACAAGCCCTAAAGTAAGCTACCATCATGTCTCTCTCTGTTCTCTTTTCTCTTTCTCTGCTTCTATGTTTCAGTCTCTGACTAATCTTAGTTCACAATGCAAAGGGTATCCTCAGAGGCTACAATGTAAAATATTGTTTTCTGGATGATTCTTTCCTAAAATTGCATCTCTTCTTTCTCATACATCTTAAAACCTTTGGCCAGGCACAGTGGCTCATGCCTCTAATCCCAGCAATTTGGGAGGCCAAAGTGGGTGGATCACCTGAGGTCAGGAGTTTGAGACCAGCCTGGCCAACATGATGAAAACCCCGTGTCTACTAAAAATACAAAAAATTAGCTGGGCATGGTGGCAGGTGCCTGTAATCTTAGCTACTCGGGAGGCTGAAGCAGGGGAATCGCTTGAACCCAAGAGGCAGAGGTTGCAGTAGGCTGAGATTGCACCATTGCACTCCAGCCTGGGCAACAAGAGTAAAACTCCATCTCAAAACAAAACAAAAACCTTGTTCTCCTTCACCTAAATTACTCTGTCCCTTTTCTTATATATCACTATTAACTCCTGAACACTTTAGCTTCTCCCACAAATTCTCAGAATGGGATACCTATCGATCTCAGTGGAGCACACTGTCAGATCATGACCAGCATTCTCCTCATACAGCCAAGCTGGAAACACGCCAACTGCCGTGGACGATACTAAGTAAATAGAACATGGTCCTAGCATTTCTACAGTCCACCATTTCAAAACAATAAAAGAAATTCTACACACTATAAAGTAACACAAACATTTTGAGCTAAGTAAAGGATAGAAAGGCAATAGTTTATATCTCAGAAGGGCCCCATCAGCTGGGTGCGGTGGCTCACGCTTATAATCCCAGAACTTTGGGAGGCTGAGGCACGACAACTGCTAGAGCTCAGGAGTTGGAGACCAGCCTGGGCAATATCGTGAGACCCCATCTCTACTAAATAAGAGCCGGGCATGGTGCTGTGCACATGTAGTCCCAGCTATTTGGGAGACTGAGGGAGGAGGATTACTCGAGCCCAGGAGATTGTGGCTGCAGTGAGTTGTGACTGTGCCACTACACTCCAGCCTGGACAACAGAGTGAGACCCATGTCATAAGAAAAAAAAAAAAAAAAAAAAAATTAAAAAAGAAAAGAAGGGTCCCATCTACATTTTGCAGTTTTTACCATTTTTTTCCCATTGTGTTGAAAAATGGCTGTCTTGGATTCAGGATCTCCAATAACTGAATGATACCGAATTCTTGAAGTATTATCATATTTCGTTTCCCTAAAAAGGAAAAAAAAAATTATTCTGTATCACTAAAAATTCTTTTCATTCTCTTTATTGAAGTATAGATAATATCCATTATTACAGAAATATCCTTAATTATTAGAAATTAACCTAAGTAAGAACATGTATGTTTACTCCTTTCCCCAGAGAAAGTAAATATAATCATACTTTAAATAATTTTTGAAGTACATTTAAAAAAGGAAGAGAACCTATGAAAACTTTTCAGATAAAATGATAGAAAATTTTAAAAAACAGCAAAACTTATGACATCCATAAAAAACCTGACTGAAGTCATATAAGGTAAAATTCCAGAACTGGAACACTGAGGATAGTACATTGGCTACATTTTTAAATGTCCTGGATTTCTCAAAGTGTTAGACTTAACAACTTTGAAGCAAAATGATAAATACAAATGAGAAAAGAAAGAAAGAGGGGAAGCAAAATGAACCAATTGATTGATAATTTAGATTTACTCTGAGTTCTTCAGCTGTTACTTACATAGTAAGCTCCTTGGGATTATTACTGAACTTTGGTGGACATTTCTCAATTTTAGCAGTTCTAGGATGTGTTTCCAATCCTAATGGGAGAACTTCAACTTCACAATCTGAACACGCAACTTCTAATTTCCTCTTTTTTGAAAATATATTTTTCATCGTATTCTCATCTTTCCCATTTTTATCAATACCATTAGATTTTTCAGTGTTAGCTCTGCTTAGTAATCTTCCTAAAAGGAAAATGTTAAAGAGTTTGAACAACACAGAAGATAACTGCTAACAATAAATAGACATCTGTATTTCGACTCCATGACTAAAGAACCCATACGTTTTACAATGAAGATAAACACATTAACTCATCCTACAAAACTGTTGCAAGACAAAGACCAATGTGATATTTCTTATCTTCTAGTATATGAAAAAACAGGGTATCTAAAAAAACCATCTGTCTGTTTTGGTAAAATACAAAAGCGAAGAGATTTAGCTACAATGATCCAAAACAAAGATATGGATCAGAAAATACCCTAGAAAATTAGAGATGACCTCTAGTCATAAAATTGTAGCTTTTATGTCTAGTTAAAAAGGCTTTATCATCTGAAACTTACAATTTTTAACAAAAGTACCTGTTTAAATATGTGGTGATATGTTCCTAGTGTTGTCATATTAAGTTCTGCATAACACTAAAATCTTAAAGTTTATGCATTTTCTTTCAAGGGATTCAATATTATAATTGCCAAGTCCAAATTAATAGCAGGATATTCTTACCCATCATTAGGTCAGAGACATATCTTAGGTATATTTTCTAGCAACAACGATAAAACCAATGATACTTCCTGGACACTGCTTGGCATTTTACAGGTAGCTTTCATCCAACAGTTATTTTGAGAAGTATGAGAGATGAATGTCTAGGCAGGCTGTGTAGAATGTGGATCTATAAGTGGGGAGTGGCAGGGATCCATATGTGTGACTACTCTGAATTCAGATAATTCTGCAAGCTTTTTCTTGCCCTCCCTGATGTGAACCTGACATTTCTTTTCTTTTCTTTTTTAAGCACTTGGTCATGTAAACAGATAAACCTGATTTTTTCAGATGAGTAATTTTCAGAACCTGGTTGTTCTGTTCCCTGCTGCCTAGCTGCTAGAACTAAGTCAAGGACAATTCCTTTAGACTGGCTCTAAAGCCGTGTTTCCCAAACTTTCTCACATAAGGATGTGCACAGAAAATAAGGGGTTTTGCCTGACATGCTGGAGGTAAATGTGTAAGACTACCGAAGACTGATGTGTTTGGTCCTGGGGACTGTGGCCCTAAAGAATCAGTAATTGCATGACTGTAACACACTGCTCAGGAAGTTTTGCTCTGCGGCATGGACAACTCTCTGCAGTCCCCAAAATAGAGTGAGTTGCCTAAAGTCACTGACTGAATTATAACATGCAGATATTACATAATTAACTTGTTAAATTCTAATAATAGCTCAAAACATTGAATAAGAAAGTTTTTGACTGGTAATCTTTACCTTGGCAAGCTAGTCATCTAGTTTTTTTACTTTTAAAAAGTTTTCTTCCCTTACCCCAAAGTACCTGTAGCCATGCGGACAAAACAAATGTGCCTTGGACATAACAAGCCCTCACACAAAAACCAGTGCCATCTCTGAACCTTTCTTTTCTTGAAGAAAGTACCTCCTAAGCATCTCATCTTTTTAGTGCTCAAGTTCCCAGTTCATCTGCCTTTCTCTGATGTTCCTTTTAGATACTGTTACTCTTTACCTTGTCGTAAGCTCTCAACGGCCCTGGCTAGGAAAATGGATATTCAGAAAAGAGGATCCTACCCTAGAATAATTTTAAAATAAACCTTTGCTTTACCTGAATAAATGCAAACAAACGTCCCTCTGTCAATGTCATCTAGGCAGCGTACACCCCATCCCTTCTGCTCAGTTTTGAACACCTGTAGCCTCACTTGAGGACCATGTTGGACAACACGGTTTTGACACAACTGTCGATTACATTTGCACAACAGGCTGCATTCATAAATGCTGTCAACAAAATATGCAAAAGAGAAAAACAGACACCTCATAAAGCAAAAAGCAGTTTATTGCCACTTCACTGGCACTGACAACTACTGAGGGAAGCAGGCTAAATGTGAAAGCTCTTAGAGATAGGGTGCCTGGGTTCCCATCACAGCTTCCACATTTACTAGCTGTATTATCTTGGATGAGTTATTTAACTTCTCTGTGCTTTATCTTTGCATTTTTAAAATGGAGATTATATGACAGTACCTCCCTTATAGAGCTGCTTTGTGAAGATAAAGTGAGTCAGTACCTTGAAAGGTTGAAAATTCCCAATTCTCAAATGAGTTCTAAATAGCGTATTTTTAAATGGAGAAATGGCTGCCCAAAGTAGGCTGATCCTACAGGGGTAAGAGCCAGTCTCAAAGCTGATGAGTGTTCGAGTACACTCCGCATGATGTATGTATGGTCTCTGACTACCATTTCCATGAACAATATACAGGATTTTTATTCCTTAATAATTTAGATTTTTGGTATTAGAACCAAATTAAACTAGATATAACATCTATACGATTTTAGACCACAATAAAAGGTACCCACCTTCAAAGATATACACACCCTGCAACAAATCCTCAAGGTACCTTACCCAGTAGGAATCTGTCTCTGTAGTCTTTTATATTTATATCCAGTGGTTATTTTGTCACTTGACAAGGGGGAAGTTTTGGCATTCCTTGCTGTCAATTGAAGACATGCACATTTTGTTCTAAAAGGAAGGCAGTGGTTGGAGAAAGAATGAAAAAGCACCAAGTTAAGTCAAGAGACTGTCTTGATAAAAGTGTAAATGATGTAATAAAAGATGCAATAGCATTTAGAATAGTTTGGCTCATGAACACTATGAGCTTTTTCCCTACACAGATCTCTTTGAAAGACAATACCTCCCAAAAGTTTATAAATAATTGTAAACTGCACTGCATCTCTATTTGCTCATAAAATACTTAACTATATGAGTTTAGCTTTTAAAAATCAATTCCTTTAATTTCACTGTTCAGCACAGAAGTTTGTTTGTGAGAATTCCGCTAGTTCTGCTCTTTTACAATGGATAAACTTAAATATGTCAAATTTGTAAGGATGTAGTTTTGCAGATGTCTTAAGTTCTCTCTCACTCCAGTGACACAGAAACAGACTGGGGAGATTGACGCTATTATTGAATCCTTTTTTCATACTGTTGCGAGGCAGGAAGCTTGCAACCATAAAACTTTATGTACTTTCCCCTCTATTCAGATGATTAACTAATTTGATAGGGAACCATAATTTGATACAAAGTAAGGAACTTGGGGACTCTAGCTGTATAACTAGGTAAGTGACTGCTGGTGAGCTGGTTAAAAATCTCTGGATCTTAGTTTCCTTTGCTGAACAAGTGACTTTAAGGTCTTTTCCTCTATGATTCTCTTCTGTATTTTCTCTATTAATTCATACACATCAGAATGGTGGCTGCTTGTTTGCAAGAGAAAAGAACAATGACAACAATCAACAAATTCATTAATTTGGATTCTGTTTACAAATATGAAAATCTGTAATTGTTTTCTCCCATGTGATTTTGTGTGCAAAGTTTAAAAAGTACAGAAAAATACAGTTCAGAAAAATACAGATAATAAACATCCATATTTTCACCATCCAGAATTAGTTGTCAGCATTTTATCTAGTTCTTTTCCCTGTGTATATAATTTAAAATATACACACCACATATACACCACATATGCATGGTCTTCTTAAAAAAAGTTAAAAAGTAAAACATTACAGATATAACTAAACTCTCAAGAGATTTAGTGTGGCATCCTTTATGCTTTTATATACACATGTATCTACAAACAATACATTGTGTGTTTTTCATTACAAAAAAATTTACTATAGGTATTATTCTATAACTTGCTTTTTTTTTTGTTCAGTATAATGTTTTTGAGACCCATCCATGCTATATACAAATCTAGTTAATTCCTTTTAACTTTTCTACAGGATTAGGTATTGCTCACTTCATATACAATTAAGTTAATAGTTTTTCTTTTCTTTTTGGAGAAGGAGTCTCACTCTGTTGCCCAGGCTGGAGTGCAGTGGCGCAATCTCGGCTCACTGCAGCCTTGACCTCCCTGGACTCAGGTGATCCTCCCACCTCAGACTCTTGAGTAGCTGGGACTACAAGTGCGTCCCACCACGCTGGGCTAACTTTTGTATTTTTGTAGAGATGGGGTTTCGCTAGGTTGCCCAGGCTGGTCTCGAACTCCTGGGCTCAAATGATGTTCCCACCTTAGTTTCCCAAAGAGCTAGGATTACAGGTATGAGCCACTGTGCCCAGCCTCTTGGGACAGTTTAACTATACCTGTTTTAAAATCCCTTTCAATTAGATTCAACATTTATCTCTGATTCCTCAGGTGTGAATTCTCTCTTCTTGTCGGGATTCATGCTGCCTTCGTGGTCCTAAACATCGTTGCGTGGGTGCTTTAAATGTTTGTTTGAAATCATACCTTCTGTGGGGTTTAGTCCTTTGTGCTGCTCTACGTTGGGTGCCTTCTCTAACGCTTTGGCTCTGACCCCATTGGTTTTACAGCTGTTAACAAGGTTTTCATTAATACAGTTCCAGGCCCTGTGAGATATTGGCCTAGTTCCCAGTCTTGTGCAGGTAGGTACCTGTTTCTATTCCTTTGGAGAGCCAAGTCCCCAGATGAGGTAGTTGGGTTACATTTAGAGGTAATCTTTACAAAATAAAATACATATTTTTAAACAGAATAAAACAGTGCAGTGAGAGGTTTTCTCTATGAGAGGCCTCAAGGAACTGAGCCAAACTGAGGTAACAGTAGATATAGCTCTCATTTTACACTCCAATTAACTGAGAGGATGGTGAAAACTATTATTATGCTATTTAAATTATTTATCATTCTCTTATTCTTTTTTTGCCAAGTATGGGTAGCTAAATTCGCATTAAATGTACATATAATGCAACACCACTCTATATCTGTATTCCTACAAATGTATGTGTACTACACACCCTTAAAATGGTTTTCAAAGTCTTAATATATTAGAACATGTTTTCATTTTTTAATGGGATATTAATACTATACTACGATCAAGAAAACACTAGTTATAAGCATCACATTAGCCAGCAAATGATTTTTAAAAGTAAAATGCAACATACAACCCAATGGTTAAGAACATGGGTTCAAATCCTGTCTCTACAATTTGTTCTATGATCTCTCCAAACTGACTTCTCTGAGGCTTAACTTCCTCATGTATAACACTGAGATATTATCTACCTCATGGGTTTTTGTGAAGATTAAGAGAATGAATGTAAAGTACTTGTCACAGTGTCTGGCACTGTTAAATATCATTTGTGGTAATGCTATTGATGATCTCTTAATGTATTAGTACTAGATTAAAGGAAATATGCATCCTTGGAAGAAATAAGTTTCAAATTACCATATTTGGCAAATAATTAGAGGTTTTTTTCCCTACTGCTAGTGAGAGCTCATTTTCCCATTGTAGACTTTTTTTTTTTCTTTCTGGAGACAGAGTCTTGCTTTGTTGTCCAGGCCTCTGATACAGTGTGTGATCACAGCTCACTGCATCCTTGACCTCCTGGGCTCAAGCAGACCTCCTACCCCAGCCTCCAGAGTAGTTGGACTATAGGTGCACACCACCATACCCAGCGAATTTTTAAATTTTTTTGTAAAGATGGGGTTTTGCCATGTTGCCCAGGCTGGTCTCAAACTCCTGTGCTCAAGCTGGCCTCCCACCTTGGTCTCCCAAAGTGCTGGGATTACATGCGTGGGCCACCATGCCCAGTCTTACTGTAGAATCTCGAACAGGTTTTAGATAGACAAATTAATACATAACAAGACTTCTTAACAAGTGTCCTTACATTCAGAAGATTTTTTGAAATGCTATGTTTTTCTACTCACATGTCTATGCAGCCCTCAGAGCAGTCACAGGAATCAGTAAACATGCTGGAAAAGTTGGTTAGATAGTATGTTCGAGGCCACACAGTCTTTCTGTACTTAAACTGTGGGAGCTTTCTACTGTCAATTTCATTACAGAAAGAAATGGGCATTGATTCCACTCCATTGCTAATATCCACATCAGAAACAACTTCTTTTTGCTTTGGGTAATTCCGAGACAACTGAACATAGGTATTGAAAGAAAAGTTATCTGTAAATAAAAAGTTACACTCTGTCTCAAGCAGGTAACGAAAAACTTCCTCCACGTTTCGTAGACTCCTTCCACAAGGGGTTTTATAACTCACATGGAGTGCTGAAGAATGAGAGTTTGTCTTTGCATGTCGTCTTTGGAAGTGACATTTGATTGGCAGCTGCAGAGGGTTTTCTCCCTTCAAGTTCAGTGGCATTTTCATCAGACAAGCACCAGAGCAGTCATGACTTTGGTAAGATAAATTCAAAGATGAGTCTTTTTCTCTAAAGTCTACAACTTTATCTTCAAGAGAGAGAATTTCCTTATTTTCCATTGTTCTGTTAAAATAAATTATTCATTAGCATCTCAAACTTATAGTTCAATTCATTTTAAAAAAACTATAATTATTTCCTATCTTCTTAGACAATATTAAAATAAGCCAGACTCTAAGATACACATTTTAAGATGTTCTGCAGCCATACAAACATTGTATCTATTTTTAAAACTTTTCTCAGAGATGAGGTCTTGCTATGTTGCCCAGGCTGGAGTGCAGTGGCCCTTCACAGGTGTGATCACAGCACACAGCAGCCTTGAACTCTTGTCCCCAAGTGAGCCTCCTGCCTCCGTTTCCCAAATAGCTGGTACAGGCATGCACCAGGTCTGCCTTATACCTGATTTCAGAATACTCCAGGAAGCTGTGATTACAGCTGTAACTTTCTGTTAGGTATTTCATAGCACCTAGCAAATTTAGAGTTGATTTAGAGCATGCAATCAATAAAGTACTGAAGAAGGTTACTTCTTCAGGCATGCTGGGATCAAGCTCTTTACATGCCAAAAACAAAGGCTGGCTGAAAACTTATTAATTCATCAAGAATTCTTTATACTGTTTGCCTTCAACAATAGTACCAACTGAATTCTTTCCATAGTATGTGATCTACCTCGCAATCATATTGATACATCTGAAAAAATGGCAAACTGACAGGAGAAAATGGGGTGGTTATTAATCTAAAAAAAAAGTCAACAGGGTGTGATGGCTCACAACTGTAATCCCAGCACTTTGAGAGGTCAAGGCGGAAGGAGTGCTTGAGCTCAGGAGCTCAAGATCAGCCTGGGCAACACAGTGAAACCTCGTCCCTACAAAAAGTAAACAAAATTAGTCAAGTGTGGTGGTGCATGCCTGTAGTGCCAGCTACTTTGGGGGCTGAGGTGGGAGGACTGCTTGGACTCAGGAGGTTGAGGCTACAGTGAACCATGATCACACCATTGCACTCCAGCCTGGATGACAGAGTGAGATCCTGTCTTTAAAAAAAAAAAAAAATCTGTGAAAAGCTTCCATGTGTTTGGAAATCAGATTTTAAACTTTCACAAATAATCTGAGTATTGTTTTACATAGTATGTTCTATCTTTAGGTGTCTGTTACGTATTATAATACAGGTATTTTAGAGACGGGTTGTATTTGCTGTATGATATGGTTTGGCTGTGTCCCTACCCAAATCTCATCTTGAATTCCCATGTGTTGTGGGAGGGACCTGGTGGGAGGTAACTGAATCATGGGGACAGGTCTTTCCTGTGCTGTTCTCGTGATAGTGAATAAGTCTCATAAGATCTGATGGTAACATAAGCGGGAGTTTCCCTGCACAAGCTCTTTGCCTGTCACCATCCATGTTAAGATGTGACTTGCTCTTGCTTGCCTTCTGCCATGAGTGTGAGGCCTCTCCAGCCATGTGGAACAGTAAGTCCATTAAACCTCTTTCTTGGCCGGGCATGGTGGCTCACGCCTGTAATCCCAGCACTTTGGGAGGCCGAGACGGGCGGATCACAAGGTCAGGAGATCGAGACCACAGTGAAACCCCGTCTCTACTAAAAATACAAAAAATTAGCCAGGCGCGGTCGCGGGCGCCTGTAGTCCCAGCTACTCAGGAGGCTGAGGCAGGAGAATGGCGTGAACCCGGGAGGCGGAGCTTGCAGTGAGCCGAGATCGCGCCACTGCACTCCAGCCTGGGCGACAGAGCGAGACTCCCTCTCAAAAAAAAAAAAAAAAATTTTTTTCTTTCTTTTGTAAATTGCCCGCTGTTGGGTATGTCTTTATCAGCAGTGTTTTTTTTGACTAATACACTATATAAAGCAGTGCCATCCAAAACAACTTTCTCCATTGATAGAAATGGTCTATACTTGTGCTGTCCAATATGGTAGCCAGTAGGCGTATGTGGCTACTGAGCACTTTTAAAAGTAGCTTGCATGACCAAAGAACTGAATTTTTACATTTTTTTTTTTTTTGATTAATTCAAATTTAAACAGCCACATGTAGCTAGTGGCTACCACTTTTTTTGTGCAGATATGGAGCTTCTTCATCCTTTCTCCAAATGTATAGTAATCCTTTGCATAAGTCCACAATTTAATTACCTAGCCTGCAATAATGGACTTTTTTCCACAACATGTAGTACAGGCTAGACCACAATAGTGGACTAGTTAACTTACACAGTTATCTTTTTTTTTTTATACAGTAAACTTATACTGTGATCTTTTAATAACTAATTTTATTGTAATAATCTTTAAGATTACTTATGAATTTTACTGTATGAATAACAATTTCATACGTGTATTTTTTTTGTTGCACAACATATTCCCAGAAATGGGAGTGTTAGGTCACAAGGCAAATGGATTAGTTATTTCACTAATATTGCCACATTGTTCTCCATTGTGTCAGTTCCTTCTTTTTTTAATGAGAATGCCTGTTTTCATAGAGCTTCATCAATCAGGTGGGTCTGGATTTTTTTGGATTTCAGAGTCTAACAGGTGAAAGGATGTACTATAATTTATTTAGAATTTTTTTTTTTTTTTTTTGAGAGAGCAGTTTGCTTGATGCCCAGGCTGGAAGTGCATGGCATGAACTCGGCCTCACTGCAACCTTATTGCCCAGGTTCAAGCGAATTCTCGTGCCTCCAGCCTCCCAAGTAGGGCGCGGATTACAAGGTATCGTGGATCCAAGGTCCAGCTAAATTTTTTAATTTTTAGCAGAGGATGGGTTTTACATGTTGTCAGGACTGGTTTCAAACTCCTGATCGACAAGTGATCTACCACCTTGGCCTCCCCAATAGATTGCTGGGATACAAGCTGTCCACCCTCCAGCCCTATAATCCTTTTAATGTTGAAAATTCGTTTGTTTCGCAGAGTGGGTTGTCTCTATGTACTACTTATGAACATCCTCATATATACGAATCCTTGACCAAATCCTGAGTTATTATTTTGAAATACATTCCTTTAATAGGAATTACTACCAAGGGAACATACATTTAAAGACATTTTTTTTATAAAATTCCAAATATAAACATAAGAGTAATACTTTCTCATAAAAAGAGACTACGCTCAGGTCAGTGGCCCAATGCCTGCAATTCTCAACATTTTGGGAGGCTGAATAGGCAGGATCGCTAACCCCACGGAGTTCAAGACCAGCCTGTCCCAACATGGAAAACTCCATCTCTACTAACAATAGAAAAAAATTAGTGGGACGTGGTGGTGCACACCTGTAGTCCCAGCTACTCAGGAGGCTGAGGTAGGAGAACTGCCTGAGCCTGGGGAGGTCAAGGCTGCATTGAGCCATGATGACTTCGTCACTCAAGAGCTCTGATGGAGATGTACAAGGAGATTAATGTTGTTGTTATGCCTGTTAACACAACATCCATTCTTCAGCCCATGGACAAAGGTGTAATTTTGACTTTCAAGTTTTATTATTTAAGAAATACACTTTAGGGAGGCCGAGACGGGCGGATCACGAGGTCAGGAGATCAAGACCATCCTGGCTAACACGGTGAAACCCCGTCTCTACTAAAAAATACAAAAAACTAGCTGGGTGAGGTGGCAGGCGCCTGTAGTCCCAGCTACACGGGAGGCTGAGGCAGGAGAATGGCGTAAACCCAGAAGGCGGAGCTTGCAGTGAGCTGACATCCGGCCACTGCACTCCAGCCCGGGCGACAGAGCGAGACTCCATCTCAAAAAAAAAAAAAAAAAAAAAAAAAAAAAAAAAAAAAAAAAAAAAAAAAAAAAAACAGAGCGAGACTCCATCTCAAAAAAAAAAAAAAATACACTTTATAAGGCTATTAAGCTGCCAGCCATAGTGATTCCTCTGATGGGTCTGGGCAAAGTAAATAACTTTCTGGAAAGGATTCACCATTCTAGATACCACTTGTGATTCATGGGAGGAGGTCAAAATATCAACCTTACCAGGAGTTTGGAAGAAGTGGATGCTAACCCTCATGAATGACTTTGAGGGGCATAAGATTTCAGTGGAGGAAGTAACTGCAGATGTGATACAAATAGCAAAAAACTAGAATTAGAAGTAGAACCTGAAGATCTGACTAAATTGTTGCAATCTCAGGATAAAACTTGAATGGATGAGGAGCTGCTTCTTATGGATGGGCAAAGAAAGCGGTTTCTTGAGATGGAATCTACTCATGAAGATGCTGTGGACAATGTTGAAATGACAACAAAGGATTTATTAATAGAACATTACATAAATTTAGTTGATAAAGCAGTGGCAGGCTTCGAAAGAACTGACTCCAATTTTGAAAGCTGTTCTATTGTGGGTAAAATGCTGTCAATGAACAGCATCACATACTGCAGAGAACTCTTTCGTGAAAGAAAGAGTCCATCAAGGTAGCAAACTTTATTGCTGTCTTATTTTAAGAAATTGTCATAGTCACTCCAACAGTCAGCAGCCACCACCCTCATCAGTCAGTGTAGGGTCCAGCCCTATGGGGCTTTGCGGGTGTTCTCCCCGTGTGCAGAGATGAGAGATCGCAAGAAATAAAGACACTAGACAAACAGATAAAGAGAAAACAGCTGGGCCCGGGGTACCACTACCACCAAGACACGGAGACCAGTAGTGGCCTCCAATGGCTAGGCGTGCTGATATTTACTGTATACAAGACAAGGGGGTAGGGTAAGGAGGGTGAGTCGTCCAAGTGATTGATAAGGTCAAGAAAGTCACATGATCATAGGACAGGGGGCCCTTCCCTTTCAGGTAGCCGAAGCAGAGACAGAAGGCAGCATACGTCAGCGTTTTCTTCTATGCACTTATCAGAAAGATCAAAGACTTTAAGACTTTCACTATTTTTTTTCTACTGCTATCTTCTAAGAACTTCAAAGAGGAACCAGGAGTATGGGAGGAACATGAAAGAGAACAAGGAGCATGACCACTGAAGCACAGCACCATAGGGAGGGGCTTAAGCCTCTGGATGACTGCAGGTAGGCCTGGATAATATCTAACCTCCCACAAGAAGCTGGTGGAGCAGAGTGTTCCCTGACCCCTCCAAGGAAAGGGAGACTCCCTTTCGCGGTCTGCTAAGTAATGGGTGCCTTCCCAGGCACTGGCTATTACCGCTTGACCAAGGAGCCCTCAAGTGGCCCTTATGCGGGTGTGACAGAGGGCTCACCTCTTGCCTTCTTGGTGACTTCTCACAATGTCCCTTCAGCACCTGACCCTATACCTGCTGGTCATTCCTTAGTTATATTAGTAATACAACAAACAGTAATATTAAAAGCTAATGATTAATAATGTCTATAGTAATGATTGATAATATCCATGATCATCTCTGTATCTAATTTGTATTATAACTATTCTAACTATTTTCTTTATTATGCTGAAACAGTTTGTGCCTTCAGTCTCTTGCCTCGGCACCTGGGTAATCCTCTGCCCACAAGTCTGCAGCCATCAACATCGAGGCAAGACTCTTCACCAGCACAGAGATTAGGACTTGCTAAAGGCTCAGATTATTGTCAGTATTTTTTAGCAATAAAGTATTTATAAATTAAGGTATGTACATTGTGTTTCTAGACATAATGGTACTGCACACTTAATAAACTATTGTATAGTGTAAATGTAACTTTTACATGCACTGGGAAACCAAAACCTTTTTGTGACTTGTTCTATTGTGATATTTGTTTTATTGCAGTGGTCCAGAACCAAATCTGCAATTATCTCTTAGGTACATCTGTACACTACTGGTGGGAATGTAAATCAGTATGGACATTATGGAAACCAGTATGGAAGTTCTTCAAAAAATAAAAAATAGAGCAACCATATGATCCAGCAATCCTATCACTGGATACATATCCAAAGGATACGAAGTCAGTATACCAAAAAGACAACTGCACTCCCAGTTTATTACAGTATTACTCACAGTAGCCAACATATGGAATCAATATAAATGCCCATCTACAGATGAATGATAAAAATGTGTATACACACAGATATATACACATTCACACCAACAATGAATACTCAGCCATAAGAAAGAATGAAATATTGTCATTTGCGGTAACAATGGATGAACCTGGTAAATGGATGAACCTGGAGGACATTATGTTAAGTCAAATAAGCCAGGTACAGAAAGACAAACATGGCAGGATCTCACTCATATCCGGAATCTAAAAATGTGATTTCATCGTAGACAGTAGAAGGGTGATTATCAAGAGGGTAGGGGAGGGCAGGAAGGAATGGGGCACTGAGAGAGGTTAGTCTTGGTCAGTGTTACAGTTAGAGAGGAAGATTAGGCCAGGCACGGTCACTCAAGCCTGTAATCCCAGCAACTCAGGAGGAGGAGGTGGGAGGATTGTTTAAGCCTACGAGTTCGAGACCAGCCCAGGCAATATGGCAAGCTCCTGTCTCTACAAAAAGTGAAAATAAATAAATAAATAATAAGTCTGGCATGATGGCGTGTGCCTGTAGTCTTAGCTACTGGAAAGGCTGAGGTGGGAAGATTGTGACAGGAGTTCAAGGTTACAGGGAGCTATGATCGTGCCACTGAACTCCAGCCTGGGTGACAGAGTGATACTCTGTCTCCAAAAAAATAAAAGATAAAAAGGAGACAGGAAGAATGAATTCTGGTCTTCTATTACATAGTAGGGAGACTATAGCAAATAACAGTGTGTTTTTTCCAAGATAGCTAGAAGAGTTTGAGTGTTGTCACTACAAAGAAATGATAAATGTTTATAGTGATATGGTAATTATCCTGATTTGATCATACCATAATGTATACCTGCATTGAATGTTTGCCATAAATATGTACAATTTTGTGTCAATTATAAATTTTTAAAAAGAGTGATTGCTCCTAGAAAGGTAGACAGGGCAAAGAAACCTGTTATGCTGCGAGGTTGAATATAATTCAAAGATACTATAATGTTTTATTTTCTTTTTTACAAAGAGACCGGGGCCAGGTACAGTGGCTCATGCCTGTAATCCTAGCACTTTGGGAGGCTGAGGCAGGCGGAATGCCTGAGCTCAGGAGTTCGAGACCAGCTTGGGCAACATGGTGAAACCTCATCTCTACTAAAATACAGAAAATTAGATAGGCGTGGTGGTGTGCACCTGTAGTCCCAGCTACTCTGGAGGCTGATGCAGGAGAAGTGCTTGAACCCGGGAGGCAGAGGATGCAGTGAGCCGAGATCACACCACTGCATTCCAACTTGGGTGACAGAACGACGACTCCATCTCCAAAAAAAATAAAAAATAAAAGAGAGACTGGAAGTACATACAATGGAACATTAATAGCTGTAAATTCTGGATGGTGTGAGTTATATTCCTTTATATATACACTCTATCTTTTAAATTTCTTGAAAAGATAGTAAAAAAAAATTGGTGAGAACACAGCGAAATGATTACTGTAAATCCATCACTATCCATGGACTACAATGTACTAATGCCTAATGCATTAAAATGAGGGGGTAGGGGAAGGTAAGGTTATGTTTCCCTAAATAATTTCAATTTATCTAGTGCTTCTGAATAATGTTGGAAAGGACATAACATAGTAAGAAATATATTCTATAACTCACCTTTTGTTTTTCTTTTCCATTTAATTTCTATCTTCTTTAGCCTAATCCAATTTAGTAATTATTTTTATTCCTTGATTTATTTTATTTCATTTATTCTTTTTTTCTTTTTTTTGAGACGGAGTCTTACTCTGTTGCCTAAGCTGGAGTGCAGTGGCGTGATCTCGGCTCACTGCAACCTCTACCTCCCGGGTTTAAGCGATTCTCCTGCCTCAGCCTCCCAAGTAGCCGGGATTACAGATGACCACTCCAACAACCAGCTAATTTTTGTATTTTTAGTAGAGACAGGGTTTTACCATGTGGGCCAGGCTGGTCTCGAACTCCTGACCTCAAGTAACCCACCTGCCTCGGCCTCCCAAAGTGCTGGGATTACAGGTGTGAGCCACCATGCCTGGTCCTTGATTTATTTTGGTATCCAATATCTTCTTGTTTTTCAAAGGTGGTACCTGGAAACTACTTGTTCCCTATTATTAAGTGCCAAGTTCCTTCTTACCACTTTTTCTTATAAGGAATTATAGTATAATCTGAACTCCGGATATTCTATTTATTTGTCTATCTGAGATAAACCGCCCTATTTTCTTTCATTCAGAATTCACTGTAATACATTCCTTAGGCTCTCATGGCCCTGTTCTTGGTTTTGACATAAGTTACTCACTCTCAAGTTACTTATACACTTAAGAGATTTATAGAGATAGTACACTGTTCTGTTGTCCTTTTCAATTTGACTTAACCAAATAAATATGTTTCAAATTGGATTCTGTAGTATATTATTCTGTAAATGTCATTTGAGTTCCCCATTTCGCCTACGAATTTTTTTTTTTTTTTGGAGACAGGGTCTCACTCTGTCACCCAGGCTGGAGTGTAGTGGTGCAATCTTGGTTCCCCACAACCTCTGCCTCCTGGGCTCATGCAATCCTCCCACCTCAGCCTCTAGAGTAGCTGGGACCATGGGCATGCGTCACGATGCCCAGCTAATTTTTTGCATTTTTGGTAGAGATGGGGTCTCACCATGTTGCCCAGGCTGGCCTCAAACTCCTGAGCTCAAGCAATCTGCCTGCCTTGGCCTCCCAAAGTACTAGGATTACAAGCATGAGTCACCACGCCTGGCCTCAGGTATGAAATTTTTGGTTCCTGTTTTGCTCTTTGGAGGAAGGGGAACATTAAATATTAATGTAGATGACTCAAATTTTTCTTGGAATAATGAAGGGATTAATTCAGGATATATGTGAGAGAGAAAGTATCTGGGTTACCTTTAGTTCTTAAATAACAACAAATATTTGAATAGTAGTTTAATGTCCTTTACATAATTTCCTCATATGACACAACAAATACAACTCCAAGTTAACCACTATTTGGAGCTGTATTAGAACTACTTAGGACTAAAATTTGTAACAGTAAATATGCTGGTAAAACTTGTAATTTGGAATTTACATTTCAAGAAAGTCAAACTAGCTTAAAAGTATTCTTCTTATGACTAATAAAGAAAAACTGGGAGATACAAGACTCCAGTTACTGAGCAATTAACACAGAGAAATACATGTTTTACATTTAAGAAGAGTTAGGGAGGAGTGGAAGGAGATGAGAAAAAAAAAAACAGAAAAGGAGAAAAACATAAAAATAAAACATAAAAATGAACCTAAAAACATAAAAAAAAGAACCTTAGAAAAGACTTTTCTTATCTGTGCTTCATTTTACTAAATAGAAGAAAAAAAAACCCAACTTACAAGTCTTAAGTATAAAGTAACCTAATTTCATCCCAATTTTATGGAGAGGAGGGTTAACTTCATTTAGGTGTGAAGATACATTACTCAAAAAAAAAAAAACAGAAATAAACAAAACCAATTCTATGTAGAGTATTGTAAATCTAGTTATTGATTAAAAGTGCTAAAGGTAAATTCAGGTGTCGTTAGTCACCCTGAACATCAAAGTGGAGCAAGGCTTAGAGGTTGCCAAATGATTATCTAGCTTTTGGCAAGGCTAAAGTAAGAAGTCATTCTATCCTCTATGACCATTAAGGGGGCATATTTTAAAACAAGAATGTAAACTGTATTCATCTAAAGAATGCAGTAGGTAAATTTGTTATTTTGCTCAGTCCCTTCTTTGGTCATCCTCTTCTGAAAGGCAGGTATATTAATTTCAGTGTACTTAAAGATGTTGGGTCTTGTATATATACTAGGCTTTTTATACAGTCTCTTTCAAGAATTTAAATTAAGATATTTAAAAAAATGGTTGGGTGTGGTAGCTCACACCTGTAATCCCAGCACTGTGGGAGGCCGAGGCAGGAGGATTCATTGAGCCCAGGAGATCAAGACCAGCCTGGGCAACATGACTAGACCCTGTCTCTATCTAAAAAAAAAAAAAAAATTATATATATATGTATATATGTCTCATGAGGTAACACTTGCACTAGAAGGTTAGAGTTCAGCTGGAGCAGCTATGTTTGGTCCTGTGGGAAGAGAAGAAACCTACTGGTAACAGATATAAGTAGAGTTGAGACTGAGTCAACCCGGACCTTAGGTACTGACTTTTGAGTTCCTATTTTAGTGTTCACATGGCCTGCTGTGTTACATTTTCTGTTCTTCAAGACCTATTTTACTTACATGTATGTGTGTATGTATGTCTAGGTACATGTGTGTGCATGTTTTTTTTTAAATAATCTTTTGGGTTTGTGTGCATGTTATGTAAAAAGCCACATAATGGCTTAAATTTACACCTGTGTCTTTAAGTAGTGGTGCAAGCCCAATATCACCCAGTATGCTAACCACAGCTGCACGCCTCATACACTTCTAATAAAGTCCACTACTTAAGCTAGCTTGAATAGGTGTGTACTCCTGACAAACCAAAGTTTACACCTGACCAAAAAAAAAAGATGGAATTCAGACTTCTAAAATCACAAAAGTATAAAAAGGATATCTTTTTAATTATTATTTTTTAATTTTTACATTTACCTATGTCATAACTCACTTATATGGAGTAGAAATTCAGTTCAACTCAAGAATAAAATACTGACTGGGCATGGTGGGGTGGCTCATGCCTGTAATCCCAGCACTTTGGGAGCTGAGGAGGGAGGATTGCTTGAGACCAGGAGTTCACGACCTGCCTGGGCAACACAGCGAGATCACATCGCTACAAAAAAAAAAAAAAAAGTTAAAAATTAGCCAGGTGTGGAAAAAAAAAAAAAAAAAAAAAAAAAAAAAAAAAAAAAGAAAAGAAAGAAAAGAAAAAAACCCAAAAAAAACTGAAGCCTGTGTCCTATTAGACCCAAGATTTCATCCTGGGGTTTGCCATTCATAGTTTGTGTAATCTTTTTTGTGAAATAGGGTCTCACTTTGTTACCCAAGCTAGAGCGTGGAGGCGTGATCATGGCTCACTGCAGCCTTGACCTTCCAGACTTAGGTGATACACCTCAGCCTCCCAAGTAGCTGGGACCATAGGCATGTGCCACTACTCCCAGCTAATTTTTGTTATTTTTTTGTAGAGATGGGGTTTTGCCATATTGCCCGGCTAGTCTTGAATTTTTGGGCTCAACTGGTCCTCCTGCCTCAGCCTCCCTAAGTGCTGGGATTACTGGTGTGAGCCACCATGCTCAGCCTAATCTTGAGCAGTTTAGCCGGGGCTGAGAATCCCTGGCTTAAGTTATTGACCATTTAGTTTACCAGGCAGCCTATGTGACCACTGGCCTGCTAAGAGGGTTTAAGTACTGAAAGTAAAATAAGCAATAAACTTCTGGCCTGCAGAGGAAATATCAAAGGAATTATTTAAACATAATTCCGGTCAAAAATGAAACGCTTCCTTGGAATTCTTAATAGCAAAGGAAGAAAATCCTAAGCCTAATAAGACATGTACCTTCATCTGAAAGGATCTCAGAAAGCTCAACTCAAAGTTAGATATAATCTCAAAAAAAAAAGCCTCTGAGTGTCAATACAGTACAAGAGAGATGGGAGATTCTTAAGGAAATGAAATTCTGATTATATAATCACAAACAGTCCTAAAGAGATGGGAAAACAGTTAAAGAAACCAACTCAATTTTTCTGGGCAGCTCGGATTTTTACAAGTATACATACAAAAGAAGACAGTTAATTATGAATACGAAACATTGGTATGAACCGGTAAGAAAAGTATCACAAAGCCTAGTAAGAACCGAGGTTTCTAAAAATGCTAATAAAATAACAACAACAACAACAACAACAAAAAACAACTAAAGTTATGCTCAGAACAAGAAAATAATCTGTTAGGAGAAAGATAACGTTAACTGATAACAAAGAGAAGGAAGAGTTTCTCAAAAACAATTCTGCGTTTGTCTTTTCCATCTGTAAGTATGGCTCTCAAGTTGGAAACAACAAAAAAATAAAAAGAAACGGAAGTCTGTGACAGTTAAAGAGAGGGTACTAGAACTCAAGTTTATTTAAGCATATAGAAGACTCCACAAATTAAATCTCAAGGTCTGGGGAAAAAAACTTCAAATACGGAAAAATTAAAAATAAAACAGTACTGCCCTGATTTTTTCTGTGACCACTTATCCTCAAGTTCTCACTGCCCTGATTTTTAAAAAGGGAAGGAGGACAGGTTACAGAAAATATAGAAAGGTTAGCTTAACATTGGTCTCTTAAAAATTTCCAGAAAAAGGCATCAAGTGTGTGACTTCTAAATATTTGGAATTTAAAAGGCCAAGACTAGGTGCTGAGTCAACAAGTAGGTGAGAAAAATCAAAATTAACTGAATTTTCTTTTTTGACAAAGTTTTCAATAAGTCTGAATAATGTCTGGCAATGCCACAGAATGCTACGGCAGTGAACCTTGATTTTTCATGACCACCTTGTAAGTGAGAAGTGTAGGCGGGACAACAGTAGAAGTAAATTCACAGTTGCTTAAAGAGTTCTTTCTGAAGCATAATAGAAACAGTGTCTAGTAGTGAGCCAACCACAGGTTTTTATCTCTGGTCATGTCCTGGTCAATATTGTTTTCGGTGACCATAATGAATATTAGAAAGCTTATTTATTTGTACAAGATGATAAGCTAAAAGGGACAAAAAATATTCCAAAATTCAAAAAGATTCTGGTAAGCTGGTATAATGAATTTAAACCAAAAAAAAGATACTTCACAGGAATAAACCACTCCTGCATTTAAGTTTAAAATATAATGTCTAAATACATAGATAACTGTTTGGTGGTAATTTGCATGAAAAAGAACTTTATATTTTAGTGATTTAGACTCAGTGAATTTGTTCTTAAAAACTTATGAAATTTTACACTGTATATTCAAAGGTCAGAATTTCTAGGAAAAAAACTGTTTTGTGAGCTACTGAAATGGCCAATTAAGGAGCTAAAGTGTAAACTTAGCTTTAGAGCATTTTAAAATAATTTTATGGGCCTTTTGAGACCCACTCAAACTGCAATGACATCTCTAGTATTTGTAAATCCAAATCATATAAAACAGTGTCTATCTACAACTCTCACAGACACGAAATCAAAAAAAGAATTATATATTGAGGTTTTTTTTACTCAATTTAATATTGAGCAGAAAGAACAAATGAAATTAGGGTAACAAAGAAGTTTCTTTCTAAAGATACTTTTTTTGTGTGTTTTGAAACTATGTTCTTTACTCTAGAGAACTTTCAGAAACTTCTCTGTAATTAGTACTTGAAGGGTTAGGCCCAGGTATTATCTACTAAAAATAAAGACTACATGGCAGAGTATCAGATTCACTCTTCTGCAATTCTCCTTTATGCCAAAGAATCTTTACTCAATGTAATGATAAAATGAGAAAGGAAAGGTCAGAAAAATTTAGTCTATTCATAAGCTTATGGAATATAGACACAGACCCATAGTCTATACATAAACTTTTTGATACTACTTCAGAGCTGTTATGCATTGTGAAAACTCAACTGATACTGAAAGAAACACTTTGACATTTTTAAATTCTCCGGTATAATCTAAGCACTAAAACAAAAAACAAAACAGAACAAAAAAAACCACACTACTTGGTAGATTTCAGTGTATTAATAAATTACACAAAGACATCTTAAGCTAAACTTTATAAAAAGACTTAACTAGGAGTATTAACCTATTCAGAGACTCATGAAATTCTATCCTACATAAAATACTAAAATATACAACTTTTAAAGCTTTAATGGGAAAAATTTTTTTTTGTATATCTCATCTATTCTAATGTCAAGTGATTTATAAAGAAGAAATCTGTAGGAGCAAAAGCATTAATAACAAAGAATTTATATACATACAGAAATGTACAGTCTTCTGGAAAGGAGTTTCCATATGATGTAGAGGGAAATGCATTGGATTTGTTTTCCTGTTCCTTCTGAGTCACAGGCATATGTTCTACACAAAAAAATACAAATGTGAGCAACAAGTATACCAAGTTAAAAACCATTTGCTATAAGTATCCAAGTAATATGTTCATTGACTAGAGTCTGCCCATATGGATCCCTAAAATATGCAAACATATTAAGGTTTCAAGATTGAGGCAAAAGATTAAATGTCAGTATTTTCAAAAATATTAATAAAATAGGATAAAACACTGAGGACAGAAAACATTTCTACTGTAGAAACTCTAGTTTGGCCTGAACTTGATTTGAAGCTTAACCAATCTTTAAGGTGGACATTGAGTATCCCTGCTTCTGCATGCATTTTATAGAGAAATCACATAATTCTTAAAGGCTCTATAAAAGTCAGAAAATGAAAAATTTATGTACCTTTTGTTTTCCTATTGCTCTACAACTACTTTGGCGAGGAGATGAAGTATCTGGGTATCTCTTTTGATCTAGTTTTCACATTTCTTCTTTTTTTTGAGACACAGTCTCATTCACTCTGTTGCCCAGGGTGGAAGGCAGTGGTGTGATCTTGGCTCACTGCACCCTTCACCTCCTAGGTTCAAATGATTCTCCTGCCTCAGCCTCTCCAGTAGTTGGCATTACAGGCGTGCAAAACCACACCCAGCTAATTTTTGTAGTTTCAGTAGAGACAGGGTTTTATCATGTTGGTCAAGCTGATCTTGAACTCCTGTCCTCAAGTGATCTGCCCACCTGGGCCTCCCAAAGGGCTGGGATTACAGGCATGAGCCACTGTGCCTGGCCCACTATATTTATTTTCTAGTAAAAAAATTATAACTTACTTTCCCCCTCAAAAAAAATTTAATAAAAGGATATTGTATTTCAAGGTTGCTCCGTGGCTAACTGAAAAATATCTGTCTTTAATTTTCCAAGTAAAGAAAGGTTTAAAATCTGATAGCTGAGCCAAGCACAAGGTTCATGCCTGTAATCCCAGCACTTTGGAAGGATGAAATGGGAGGATTACTTGAGGCCAGGAGTTCAAGGGCCCCCTGAGCAACAGAACAAGGCCCTGTCTCTACAAGAAAAAAAAAGAAAAAAGTTAGCCAGGCGTGGTGGCGCATGCCCGTAGTTCTAGCTATTTGGGAACTGAGGTGGGAGCACTGCTTAAGCCCAGGAGTTGTAGGCTGCAGTGAGCTATACTAGCACCACTGCACTCCAGCCTGAGCGACAGAGAAAGACCCCATCTCTAAAATAAATGAATAAATAAAAATTTGATAGTTGAAGAGAGCTATGTAAAAATGAAATAAAAATTTAGGACCTTCCAAATTTATTATGCCAAAGGGAAAAGTTAAGCCCTGAAAGATGACTCATGTAACATGATTATTTTTTTCTTTGGTGCATGATCATTGCTTTCTGACTTCTGTGTTGAGATGTTACACATTAACTAGACTCCCTATTCTTTTTTTTTTTTTAAAGACACAAGGTCTTGCTCTGTCACCCAAGCTGGAGTACATTGATGTGATCATGGGCAACTCCACACCCGACTAATTTTTAAAATTGTTTTGTAGAGGTAGACTCTCACTATGTTGCCTGGTCTTGAACTCCTGGACTCAAGTGATCCTGCCACCTCAGCCTTCCAAAGTTCTGGGATTACAAGCCTGAGACACCATGCCTAGCTAAGATTCCCTATTCTTTATTCAGACTTAGTCTAAATGATATGAAGAAAGAGACCCTTGTGACCGTTACCTGTTTACAACAGCATGTTGGCCAACCCACTTAAAGTGTAATCAAAAGTAGCCAATCAAATATCTGTATGTTATCCTTTGCACAAAAATGCGGTAATCCTGTTCAACACCTCTGTTTTGCCTATATAAATAATCCTCATTTCTCCCCACACCAGAAGCATTTATCACCATTCTTTGGTATAGCACCAGTCCTCAGATGGCTACCCTTACGCTTTGCACCTGAATAAACTCTCTCAAAATTAGATTCTGGGCTGGGCATGGTGGTTCACACCTGTAATCTCAGCACTTTGGGAGGCTGAGGCGGGCGGATCACCTGAGGTCAGGAGTTCGAGACCAGCCTGGCCAACATGGTGAAACTCTGTTTCCACTAAAAATACAAAAATTAGCCGGGTGTGGTGGCAGGCGCCTGTAATCCCAGCTACTCAGGAGGCTGAGGCAGGAGAATCGCTTGAACCCGGGAGGCGAAGGTTGCAGTGAGCCAAGATTGTGCCACTGCACTCCAGCCTGGAGGACAAGTACAAGACTTCATCTTAAAAAAAAAAAAAAAAAAAATTAGATTCTGACCCTTTTGATTATTTTAGGTTCACAGCTGTAACTGATTAGAAATCAATTTTACGAATTAAGAGTTTGACTTTTCCTCCAGCTAATTTATTTGCATGAGTTACATAAACCTGTATTAACAAATATGAGCAAAATAAATGTATATAAGCATAGTTGGAAATAGGATTTACTCAAAAACATAAGAGATTTAGTCATTAGATAAAAGAGGAAAGGTAAATAATTTCTCTCAAGAAAATACTATCCAATCCTTCATATGGAGACAGAGGAAATATTGACAGTTACACATCATCAAGAAAAATAAACATAATTAGCAGTTCGATGACAGCCTGGGGAGTGTAGGTTGGATCCAGGACAGCTTGTTTTGACCTCAACACAAAGTTCTTTTGTTTCTCTCATTCTCAACATTCTTTTTAAAATAAATGCTAGCATGAAACTTTTTTTTTTTTTTTTTTTTTAAAAGACAGGGTCTCACTCTTTTGCCTAGGGTGGAAGGCTGGAATGCAGTGGTGTGATCCCAGCTCACTGCAGATTTGATTTCCTGGGCTCAAGCGATCCTCCTATCGCAGCCTCTTGAGTACCTGGGACCACACATACATATCACCACAGCCTGCTAATTTTTTTTCTTTTTATTATCTGTAGAGATGAGGTCTCATTGTGTTGCCCAGGTTGGTCTCAAACTCCTGAGCCAAAGTGATCCTCCCACCTCGGCCTCCTAAAGTGCTTGGATTACAGGCCTGAGCCACTGCATCCAGCCCACATGAAACTTTATTACCAAAGGTTTTCAATCCTTACATTTGCCAACAATGTCAATTACATAACTCTCCCCAACTGTTTACTTAAAAACACTTCACCACTAGCAAATAAATATACTCTTATCTTGATGCATTTGTTACATCTCAGAGGGACAAACTATATAAAAATACGAAATTATAATATTCAGCATTTCTATGATAAAATTATTTTCTTAAAAGACCCCAAACAAAAACCAACTGACTTTTTGTGGAAAAAAGTTTCTTCAGAATGAAAAGAAATCTTTAGAATTAGTTGTTACCATTTTTCTTGGTAACAAGTGAGGTTAAAAGCCTCTCCCTTGCAAAACTAAATATAATTCGTTAAGGATTGTCCAGATGAGATATAGTAGCATAAAAATTATTTTGAATTGAAGACATCTGAGAATGAACAAATATAGGAAAAGGCTTTCTCTGGAGTTCCCTTATCTGTCTAAAAATAGATCCTCCCAAAAAGGAACTCAATTGTCATAAATCCCCTCCCAGAAGTTTCATCAACCAGGAATGATTTCATCTTATCAGGGAGAACAGAGGAAGTCAGTACTATACTCAGACACTCTTACAAATCTCCCACTTATTCTTGTAGGGCCCATTTATCTTTGAAGTCATGTGTTCTTCCAGAAGTGCTCCTCTGCCCCTCCTTTGCACCTATTAGGGTGGTATAATGTGCTCTCAAATCTCACCAGTGCTTTGGGTATTCACTTCTTTCTGTGATGCTCCTGTGAGGCAGGAAATTAAAGAAAGAAAGAAAAATAAAATTAAAAAGAAAGAGAAATAAGCTTTCCCATTTTAGGACGACTTATCCCAGAGGCAGCAACAGGCACAGCCCAGACCCAGAAAAGGTCTTGATAATACTATCTAAGAAGCCAGGACACAAAGAAATGTGCTCTGGGACTCTCCCAGCACTCCCTCAACATAGGGAGGAGAAAAACAAATTTTCCTTTCTCTTATGGTATGAGTGTATAGATTCCTGTTCTCTGTAACTAGTAACTTCAAGTATTCTGTTTTATCTAAACAGTGGAGTGAAGGTCATGAGCTGTCTGAGCAGGCCTGAGTTACAGCCACCTGGGCACCATAGTGAAGGTCATGGAATAAGCTGTACTAGGCACTAGAGAAAAACCTAGATAACAGACATCTGGGCTGCAGAGCAATGGTCATGTGTAATCCTGAGTCATGAACCTGTCACAATTTGATTAACTATCTTTGTTCTGCCTCTGTATCATTGCTTTCGCGCCACTACGCTTCGTGCCACTGTAAGCTTGTTTCTGGCTAGCCCACCCCCTTGTATATAAAAGTCAACTGCTGTCTTTGTTCTGGGCCCAGTTTTTGTATGTTAAGTCTGCTGGGTCTGAGTGCACTCAATAAAGATCCTCCTGTATTCACCCTAAGATCTCTCTGGTCCTCCTAATTCCCGCATATAAAATTAAAAGTTGGCCAGGCGCAGTAGCTCATGCCTGTAATTCCAACACTTTGGGAGGCCAAGGCAAGCAGTTTGCCTGAGCTCAGGAGTTCGCAACCAGTCTAGGCAACATGGTGAAACCCTGTCTCTACTAAAACACACAAAAAAATTAGCCAGCTGTGGCGGCATGAGCCTGTAGTCCCAGCTACTTGGGAGGCTGAGGCAGGAGAATTGCTTGAACCCAGGAGGCGGTGGTTGCAGTGAGCCGAGATACCACCACTGTACTCCAGCCTGGGCGAGAGAGCGAGACCTCATCTCAAAAAAAAAGAAAAAAAAATTAACACATTTGTTTATGTCTCTTCTCCTGTTAATCTGTCTTCTATCTTTTGTTACAGCCCTTATCCCCCAGCCACTGAGATAAAATTTTTCCTCCCCTACAATTCTGAGGGTTACTGAAGGATACTGTGAAAGGAAGACTGTTTTCTTCAAGAAACTACTCTTCCAAAGCTATGGCTACTGAAATTGAGGATCCTTTTGAATACCAAATGGTTTACTTAAAATAGACTGGTGATGCTAGACTATATTTTCTGAGATTTAAAAGCCTTAAGACTCCAAATTATAAAAGACAAAAATCATTAAAATTTATTGACAACATCTAACAGCATTAATATAAACCTAGTAAATATTGTACTTCCTCAAAACTTCAGCAAATGTGTGATAGACTAAGATTTATGGAATGGTGATTGATCCTGTTAAAATGTAACATCATAAGAAATATATATTTGGTTTCTGCCCTGGCTCCTGACATAATTCCTAAAACCCTTCTAATTTCAAGTAACAGGTGTGAGAGGAGCATCTTCTGTTTTAATATTTGTCTTAGTCCCCAGTTCCTGACATAAGAACTTCTGAGACCCTTGGAATCTCCAGTAGTGGTAAGAGCGTCTTTTGTATGCTAATGACTACTGAGAGGTGAGGTGTCCCTAGACAGCTTCAGAATGGGGGCTGGTTGTCAGAAAGACCAAGGCACTTCTGATAAAGGCATGGTTAAAGAGTTGGCACTTTCATCCCTACCCTTTCCACCCCCATATCCAGGGAAGAGAAAGAGGCAGATTAAGCAAATCACCAATGGGCTGATGACTGAATCATGCCTATGTAATGAGACCTCCACAAAACCCCTGAACAACAGGGTTCAGAGAGCTTTCAGACTGGTGAATGCATCCACATACTGGGAGGGTGGTACACCCCAAAACTCCACAGGGACAGAAGCTCCTGTACTCAGGCCCTTCCAGACTTTGCCCTGTGTACCTCTTCACCTGGCTATTCATTTGTATCCTTTACAATACCATTTATAATAAACTGGTAATCGTAAGTGCTTCTGTGAGTTCTATAAGCTATTATAGCAAATCATGGAATCTGAGGAGGGGGTTGTGGGAACCTCTGATTTGTAGCCAAGTCAGTCAGAAGTACAGGAGGCCCAGGGATTGTGACCAGTGTCTGAAATGGGAGCAAGTTGGTGGGAATGAGCCCTTAATCTGTGGGATCTGTGCTAACTCTGGGTAGCACTAAGTGTCAGAACTGAATTAAATTTTAGAACACAACATCCATTGGCGTCCACAGAATACTAGAGAATTGCACGGCATGGAAAACCCACATTTGGTGTCAGAAGTTTTGAGAGAAGAGAAACAGTTTTTCTTTAGTATATTATCTTTGATCCTTCTAAACTGATTTAGAGCTTGGAAGACTGATGGTCTAAAAGCAATCTAGAAATAAAAGATTTACCCACCATCTTATCTACACAAGAATATATCTTTCAAGTATTGTTCTTCACAGAAAGCGGATATATAGTGATTTAAAGGTACAATTCTATTTGCCCTCTTTAAAAGAGAAACTTTTCCCCCCCAAAGAAGACACAAATTTGTTAATTCTTTCCCTAGGATGCTTAGTTGGATGTGCATTTACTGTCTCTAGATGGGTAGGACTTTTCATTTAACAGAGGAAACTGTGATTTACGTAACTTAGAAATGTGGATGTTAGATTTTATTTTAAATTATCTTTAATTAGCCCGACCTATTAAAGCTATCCTGCTTCATGGCAAGAAAATATCAGAGAATACTCTACATTGGGAATAGAGATGTACATACCCTTTATTGATGTTGAACTGTTAATTATAGTTGCTTCATTCACTAGAATCATTGCTTGGATGTATTCTGTTAAAGACAGAAAAACAGCATCACCATTACCGTTATTCATGGTGCCAGCTACTGTGCTGAACAATTTACATATTTTATCTCATTTAATCTTCACTACTCCCTGAGAGGTTAATAGTACTATCTGCATTAGAGACAAAAGAAACTGAGGCTCAGAGGTTAAGCTCTTTATTCCAGGACATTCAGCTAGGAAGTAGTACAACTGGATTAGAATCTAGATTTATCTGACTTATGGAGGATTGAGAAGGAACATTAAAATGAAAAACAGTGCCAATTTTTTTTGATAAACACATAATAATAATGTCATAAGAACATCCAGAAAGTATTAAAAATAATCTGGAGAAAAATTTGCTTCAAAACCATATGTCCTGATGGATTGAGGACGATTCCATCTTAAAGTCTTACGTTCTATAACCAACCAGGGTTGACAACAAACAAATAGAAAAAATAAAAACTTGGATGACTGAACTAACTGCCTATGTAGAACACAAATTTTGCTTTCAGAAGACTGGCAGAGTAAGTTCTGTTTAAAGCAGGCAAAATAAAGTTATATGTACTTTTACACATACATATGAAAATACTAGTTGTCTCTGAATGTGGAATAATTTTTCCTTGTTATATTTTTCTGTAAGTGTCAAATGTTATGTTACTTTTGCAACATTCCCCTAAAAAAAAGATAAACAAGAGAAAAAGTAGTTTGAGATAAAAAGAAATTCAGTAGGTATTATTCAAAAGTAATTATATCCACCTACTTTTACAAACAGCAATATTAGAAATAGAATGACACTATACTGCCAGAGAGAAATATTTAGTATTAAACATATTCAAAGTTTTTATTGCTTCATACCTTTATTGGTGGCAGACCCATCTTTGATCTTTTGTTTCAGTGACTGCAGCACATTTTGTACTTGTTCAAAAATGAAGTCCACTTTTCCATCATCTTCTAGCTCCATCCAGAAAGTTTTTGCATCGCCTAAAATTAAAATAAGTGACTAGCCTAAGAGCTAATAGAAAAATACTGTAATTTATCTAAGGAACATGTTATAGAACAATCTACTTGGTTTCTAAATAAGATCAAGACTCATCTGGTCTATCATTTTCCTTGAGGAAAATATTTTAGTAATGTTTCCTTACAAAGAGCTAGAAACAATATGATCTAAGTGTCTCACCCATTTCTGTTAATTTTTAAAATATATATTGAAAACTTTAGTGACACTTTCTTAACTAGAAAACGGAAGAAAGACTTCACTGGAGAGTGGTTGTGAGGTATATGTATAGATTATACATACACTTTTAAAAGTCTTAGGGATATAATCTCCACTGAGTGTGGTTTCAGAATGAGACAACTCAATGGCTGCTGAAATAACTAAATGTCCAACAATATTGCTTTTAAAAAAAGTCTTCTGTACGTTTAATTGCATGAAGCAAATTAATGTTTAAAGTTTTACAGAGAAAGTTACATAAATGAGCCAACATTTCTGATGCCCAGTAAGCTAATACTTTGAAATTTTCCTAAAGAAACAATCCTTTCAAACTTGAAAACATAAGAAAAACAATTATAAGTAGGCAAAAGCTAAATCTCACATGTTTAAAAGTAACAAAAATACCTAAAATGCTACGCATAATTTATACAATGTTACAATGTATAAAATTATTTAAAATCAATGAATAGGGCCTTAAGCAAAGGAGAGACATAGTAATAATTACATTTTAGAAAGGTCACTGGAGTAGGCACAGGGAGGATTAATGAGTAGACAGTCCAGATGGCTTACAAAAAATACATTTTCCTTAACACAAGTTAAACCCAGAACTTCCAAGTTTGGCAAAGAAGGGAGAATTTGCATAAGGGGCTTAGGTATCAAAGTCTCAATTTCTGCCGGGAAAGTCACCTTTCCCAAAGGGGACTTTGGCTAATTAGTGCTGCTGCCAACACAGCGGCCTCTGGAGGGGTGTTGTTTTCCTACTAATACTCTGGCCTGATGTATACTACGTAAGACTAAGCTTACTTCTAATTCCCCATAGCACAGCTCAAACAAGATTTCAAGATTTTAAACAAGAGCAATGTGAGAGGACAAAATGGATGAGAACTGGTGCTTAAAAGGCAGGTAGGGGAATGACAACGAAGGCCCTATGTGCCATGCTAGGCAACTTTTATATGGAAAGCTACCCAAGAGGTATATGGATCTTATGATGTGATTAGTTATGTTTTCCAGAAAGATCACTCAGGTAGCAGTGGGAGAAGTCATGAATGATTTCCACTTTTTGCCTCAGGCAATCATATGGACAATAATGCTACTCAGTAAGGTACGAATAAAGGTAGAGGGACAGGTGAAAAATTCAAGTAGTAAGAGGCTCTCTGAACAAACTGGATGCATAGGCTCTAGAGTAAGATCTGGTTCAGAAATACAAATTGGAGTCATTAACATACAAATACTTGCTGATGCCATAGAGTAGACGTAATTCCATAGGGAGAACATACAGAATAAGAAGGGTCTTATGTAGAACATGAACAATACAAGGAAAAGGAACTATAGAGACTGAGGTGGAAGAGAAACCCAGGAAAGCAGTATCTCAGAAGCCAAGGAAAGAAGAAGAGTGGTGATTAACAACCTAGGCTTTGGAGTTCAACTGTAGTTGGGTCTGAATACTAGTTCTGACCCATTTATTAACTGTGTGACCACATCTATAAAATGGAAATAAACTGGGCACAGTGTCTCAGGCCTGTAATCCCAGCACTTTAGGAGACTGAGAAAGGAGAATCACTTGAGGCCAAGAGTTCAAGACCAGCATGGGTAACATAGCAAGACCTCATCTCTATAAAAAAATCAGCCAGGTGAGGTGGTACATGCCTGTGGTCCAAGCTACTCAGAAGGCTGAGGCGAGAGGATTGCTTGAGCCCAGGAGTTCTTGGCTGCAGTGAGCAAAAGGGATTAATCTTTCATTGTGGAATTTTAGAGAACAATCAGCTTAATGAGAAAAATATTTTTGTGAAGCAGGGCTTTCTCAGGGTGCCTAAAATCATTAAGTTTTTCACTGATAATTAACAAAAATCACTTTTAGGCAAAATTATTTTTCAAAGCACTTCATAGATTATTGTTACATTTCCCTTCACAGATATGAGTCAATACTCCTTACTAGGGATTTATCTTTATTAGAGGTGGACACTGAGATGTATTTTGAAGTATTTTGAAGTTTTTTGGAAGTATTTAAAAATAGCCTTTGGTAACATTAAAGCATTCTGGAATCACATATAATTCTGTCCTGTTCTGAAAAAAAAAGCAGTGATGCTAAAAGACAGCAATCAGGACTCAATGAATTTTTTTTTTTTTTTCATTTAAAATTGTCTCAGAGGCTAGGTGTGGTGGCTCATGCCTGTAATCCCAGCGCTTTGGGAGGCTGAGGCAGGCAGATCACTTGAGGCCAGGAGTTTGAGACATGCCTGGCCAACACGGTGACACCCCATCTCTACCAAAAACACAAAAAAGTTAGCTGGGCATAGTGGCATATGCCTGTAGTCCCAGCTACTTGGGAGGATGAGGCATGAGAACTGCTTGAACCTAGGAGGCAGAGGTTGCAGTGGGCTGAGATCATGCCACTGCACTCCAGCCTGGGTAACAGAGCAAAACTCTCACAAAAAAAAAAAAAAAAAAAAAAGTCTTAGAAATGCCAATACATGCTACTAAATTATTCTGGTAGGAAATACTTAAAATGAGTTATTTAAAAAGTAAACAGAGTAAATGCTCAATCTTGGAACTGATTAATAAAAAGGACATTGGTAATACAATTTAAAAAAACAAAGCCAACCAAAGAAAATACTGAATCTGCTTCTACAATAAATGAATGTAACTAAGCAATTCATATTTATTTGCTCTGGGTTTTAAATAAATATGTTTTTCCTTATGACATCCTTATTATCTCATATTGCTAGGTTTAATTCTCATTAAAATGTCACTTGTTCCTCATGTCTTCCTTCTTGATCAGAGGTAACCAAACTTTCTGATAAATGAAACTAATAGATCCAGTTAACAACTTCTGTGCACAAGAAGACTAAATGAGTATCACAAGAATCATCTGGGTGACTTTGATTTTGACTGTAGACATAGTTACTACAATATAAGCAATTTTAGTTTCTTGCTCCTGATCTTCACTTCTTTGTGCACTGTATGCATGCTCAGCATTATAACCTAGAACTGTAAATATTTCAGTATATTTTATTAGAAGATATTTACAAGGAATACTGGAGCAGGTACTTGAATTGAAGATCAATTCAGGATACTAATATTGCTGGTATTTGCCCCCAGAAATGAAGAATACCATCTGATAACTTCATTATCTGTTCAAACTCTCTTTTTTATTTAGCCAGTTATGACTATTCATTGCAAGACTATAACCATGAGGCAAGAAGTGTAGCAGCCTTGTCATGAAGGAAGCCAAGTAAATGGTATAGTTATAGTACATCTACCAATCTCACTTTAGACAGTCTTTGTAAACAGACAATGATCATGAATAATACTGATCTGAATCATTTGCTAGACAAGTATTTATGAAATACTTACCAAATACATTACTAATGACCTCAGTACACAGAAACATATATAGTGACAGGCTTTAGGGTATTGGTCTAGAGGAACTCTAAGGTATCTTTGAGCCTTAGCAAAATGTGGTCTGTGGACCCCTAGGACTACCCAAATTATTTCAGAGAATAAACAAGGACAAACTATTTGAAAAATAGTATTAGGACATTTGCTGTTTTTATTGTATTGACATCATCTGATAGTACAAAGGCACTGGTGAGTAAAATTGCTAGTGTCTCAGCATGAATCAAGGTAGTGGCATCAAACTATCAGTAAGTCATTGTGATCTTCACCACCAATTTCATCTAAGTATATCTTTAATGAAACAACATAAATGATTACAATGATTTGCACAGCCATTATAGTATAACGGCTGTCTCAAGAAAAAATACTAGTGGGATTGTTTAACTTATAAGCTAAACTACCTGTTTTTTGTTTTTTGTTTTTAAATGAAAATCATTTTTACTTAAAAGAACCACTGATAAAACTATAGTTTTCCAGACTTGGGTGTCTAGCATATGAGCAAAGTCAGCCTATCACTTGAAGGACAAAACTAACAATATTTGTTGCTAATGATAAAATTCAAGCTACAGGACGAAAATGAGAATTTTGAAAACCTTGTATCTGCCATGGCAAACCTGAAAGTTTCTGAAGAGTTAACCACTTTTAAAATGAGATCAGTAGCAATAATAACAAATGTGATTTTAAAATTATATGATTAAATGTGTCAACATTTGGAAGATCTGCATAATTCCCTGAACCAATATTTTACAAGTGGTCAATACATGATGTAAAATCATACATGGTAAAAGACCTACTCAAAGTGCAAGATAGACCAATGGATTTTAATGTAACAGTGTAAAAAAACTCAATGATATGTCAGATTCCACACTGCAACTAACCTTTAAGGAATGACTACCTGTTAAGTTTTGGAGTCAACAAAGAAAAATATCCACAATTAGATGAAAGGCTATTAAAATACTCTTCCTTCTTCAGCTTCTTGTCTGTGTAAAGCTTGTCTTTTATTCATTTTAACCAAAGGAAGTATCACAGTAGACTGAATGTAGAAGCAGATATGAGAATCTAACAAGCCAGTTATTAAAGATATTTCTAACAATGTAAGACAATGTTATCCTTCTCACTAATATTTTTGCTTTAGAAAATAGTTTTTATTTATATTTTCAACATGCTGGATTTATTATTTTCTTAAAAATGAGACAATATTTTTTGAAACTTTTCAGTTTCAATTTCTATTACAGTAAGTATCAACACATGTTACCCACATAAACAAAAACTCTTTGGGGTTTTAAATACTCTAAAGAGTATAAAGTCATCCTGAGACCAAAAAAAAATTGAGAACCACTGGCTTAGATCACAGCCTGGTGAAATCAGTACTATGATCTGTATAACAATCCACACATTACAACTATGTTAAAGGCACTCAAACTATTGAGTATGATACTATAACTATAGATGTACAATATTATGCAGTTGTAAAAACCCACAGAATTTTAAAGGGTAAACAATGAACTTTAACGTACGCAAATTTTAAAAATCATTTAGGACGTCACAGATCTCAATAAGGAATGCAGACTATGAAGAGAATCTAACTGTATTACAAACGTATAAACAACTTCACCAAGGGCTGGGTGGAAAAGGTATTGATCTAAGTAACCTTGGAAATGAGTGGAGTCTGTAAAAATAAAGGCAAAAGTAACTGCACATACTTACTTACTGTACTCTAGTTGATAAAGTATTTTCCCACCTGGGGATGGGTCAAAATTCTTTTTTTTTTTTTTTTTTAAGATAGTCTTGCTCTGTCACCCAGTCTGGAATACGGTGGCATGATCTCAGCTCACTGCAACCTCTGCCTCCTGGGTTCAAGCAATTGTCATGCCTCAGCCTCTGGAATAGCTCGGATTATACATAGGCGTGTGCCACTTTGTATTACTATTATTTTTTTTTTAGTAGAGACAGGATTTTGCCATGTTTACCAGGCTGGTCTAACTCCTGGCCTCGGCCTTTCAAAGTGCTGGGATTATAGGCATAAGCCACGGTGCCCAGCCAAGGTATATATACTGGAATTGAATGATTAAGTAAATGGATGGTGGGTGATGGGAACTAAGTTTTTTACTACTGGAGTGGGAGCATACAGATAAGGAGAGGAGACTAGAATGATTCATGTGGTAATAGAGTTGGAAACATCAGCATAATTTCATGTTTAGCTTAAGGCAAATACAGTTACATATAGAAATATTTATAGCCACGAGCTATGTATATATGTTAGTGTGTGTGTGTGTATATATATATACACACACACACTTCCTTGCTCTGCCAGCTGAAAGGGCCTATAAACAAGGACACTCCGGTAACAACAAATACACCTATCATCCAGATCTTGGTTTCTAACACCTTTTTCCGATAAAAATATTGACAGAACCATTCAAGAAATGGCTGACTCTAAGATGGGCAAGAAATACACAAAATGAATCTAGAGCAATCTTTGAGTGCCAAAAAAAATTAAGGAAGTGCTATAAAACAAAGACAAATAAAAAATACCTACACTGATGAGGGTATATCAAAGGGAAACAAGAGCCAACCGAGCAAGGCATGGTGGTTCACGCCTGTAATCCCAGCGCTTTGGGAGGCTGAGGTGGGTGGATCACTTGAGGTAGGAGTTCGAGACCAGTCTGGCCAATATAGTGAAACCCCGTCTCTATTAAAAATACAAAAATTAGCTGGGCGTGGTGGCACACACCTGTAATCCCAGCTCCTCAGGAGGCTGAGGCAAGAGAATTGTTCGAACCCGGGAGGCACAGGTTGCAGTAAGCCAAGATTGCGCCACTGCACATGAGCCTGGGCAACAGAGTGAGACTTCATCTTAAAAAAAACAACAAAAAAAGAGCCAACTAAAAGAGCTCCCAATAGCCTAACTGGGGACAGTTTGAAAAGCAAAATAAATAAAGTAGTACTGACTTGTAACTCAAAGTATAAAATAAATAGCCATGAGTCCATGCTGATATAAATGATTAACTGAATAAATGGGGAAGAAGAGATAGAGATAAATCTCCCATACAGAAATATTCCAAATATAATTAATGTAGATATTCCACACTTAAGGAGGGAGGGCAAAAATCCCCACTCCTTAAGTGTGGGCTGCCTATAGTGATTTATTTCCAAAGAGTATAGCAGAGAACAGGAGAAAAAGAGCAACTTTACAGTGGAGAAATTTGAGAACACCACCTACGTTAGCCAGCTCAAGCTCCGTTAATCAAGCTCAATATCAACTCTGAGAAATCATGCTGACAGCATGTTCTCTTGATATGATGTGATGAAAATGACATTTTACCTCTGAGATCACACTCCCCAAAACCCATAACTCCAGTCAAATTATGGAAAAATATCAGACAATAATTCCAACAGAGGGGCATCTTACAAAATATTCGGATACAAAATCCCCAAAAAATCAAAAACAAGAAAAGTCTGACAAACTATCACAGCTAGGAGGAGCCTAAGCAGACATGACAAGTAAATGTAATGTGGTGTCCTGGATGGGATCTTGGAATGGAAAAAGACATCAGGTAAAAACTAAGGTGAATACACTATGGACTTCAGTTAATAATAATGTGCCAATATTGGTTCATTAATTGTAATAAATGTAGCATCCAAATGTAAAATGTTAATCACAGATAAACCTGGGTACTAGGTTACTGGAACTCTGCAATCCTCTCAATTTTTCTGTAACACTAAAAGTATATCTGGCTCACGCCTGTACTCCTAGCACTTTGAGAGGCCAAGACAGGCGGATCATGAGGTCAGGAGTTCGAGAGCAGCCTGACCAACATGGTGAAACCCCGTCTCTACTAAAAATAGAAAAAATTAGCCGGGCATGGTGGCATGCGCCTGTAATCCCAGCTACTCAGGAGGCTGAGGCAGGAGAATCACTTGATCCTGGGAGGAAGAGGTTGCAGTGAGCCGAGATTGCGCCACTGCACTACAGCCTGGGTGACAGAGCGAGACTCCATCTCAAAAAAAAGAAGAAAAAAAAGGTTTTCAAAAAACAGTCAATTTTTTTCACAATTAATGATAAAGACAGTCAAAATTGGTGGCTATATGAGAATAAACCCTTAATTCCCTCTAATTTAGAAAAGTTCCTTGCAATGCAAAACCTTGACAATTCCACATCAGCTTACATTGTCTATATACTTTTAAAGAGTAACAATGTGTTCTTCAACCTACCATTTTTTTCTCCCATTTCTTGATGTCGTTTATAAATATAAAATGCTTCAAAATTAGGTTTATCAAATCACTTTGATTGGAGAGTATCACTGGAATCCAACTGTGGTCTCTATGAAATCTGCAGTCCTCAGACAGAATACATCATTATACCATTCTAAACCTGATATCCTTTGGTACTTGAATTTTCAAATAGAAATTGTGGCTGAAGAAACTTTCAAAAATGAGTGACAGTCCAATCAAAAGACAAGTCCATGAATCTTCATCCCGTGAATATTTGTAGTGGTATCAGATCATTAACATTATCTTTGTAAAAGTAAAAAACAACTCCATCTTTTGGTCCACAAATGGATGAAACATTCTGTAAGGAAAACAATAAAAAACAGTGCATATTTGTAAAGGACTATATATATATAAGGAAATAAGATATTGCTATAACAGCTTGATCTTCTAAAACAGCATGAACCATTACAAAAAACATATGTTATCTGGAAAAAATATGTAAAGTATCGAAAGTAGAAATATTAGAGAAGGCCCACCCAATCCTATCACCCATATTTAATATATTTGTTAGTATTTACATTACTGACAAACTATCTCCATTTTGTAAGTCTTTTATAAAAACTTTTAAAAAGGGGATAATACTAACTACCTCACAGGTTGTTCTGAGGGCAAGACTTAATTACATAGAACAGTGCCTGACATATAAAGGTTCAAGGAATACTGGCAATTATTGTTATTATTTCAGAATGTAGTTTTAAAACAAAATTTGGATTGCAGTATATATAATTTTTTATAATCTTTCATTAAAAACATTTCCTGCATTTCCTCCATCATTAATATTTTAATACGACTGGCTGTACAACATACTTTGGTCAATAACCCATACATTATAGTACATTAAATATTTTAATAATTAAATTTTAATAAAATATTGATTAGTAACATAAACCTCTATTCAATTATTTAGATTGTTTTCCTTTATAGATTAATTTTTAGTATAATAAATAATGATAAAATAGATATACTTTATACCTATCTCTGGCAATTTCCCTAGGATAACATATCTAGACATAGAGTAACAGGTCAAAAATAGATCAACAATTTAAATTCTTAAGATGTTAGCCAAGATACAGTAAATTCTTCTGCCACTTCTACACCAAACCATGGAAATGTTAGGAGATTTAAAAAATATATATATAGCCATGCTGAAAACAAAAAGAGAACTCTCTAAGGGCCAAGTCTGTGAGGCCTTTCTGGGGAAAGGAAACAGATGGGACGCTATAGAGATGATGGCAACCACAATCACAGCAGCAAAACTATGGGCAGGAATCCTCTCAGAGGAGATGAATGCACAACTAAGAGTCCTCAAACATCTGAAGAAGGCTACACTATGAAAGAGACTGAGCTAAAGAAGGAAATCTCATCCATGAAATAACATACAATTTTGAAAAAAAGTCAATTAGATAGCTTGGATATAAAAACAGTTGTTGAAATAAACTCAATAGATGACTGAATGACAGAACAGACTCACATGAAGAGCCAGTTAATAAGCTGGAAGACTGATTTGAGTAATTCACCAAGAACCCAGAGCAAAGAAACAAGAGGAGGCACAAAATTGAGAAAATGGAGAGGAAGCAATAATGACCAAGAATTTTTCAGAACTGGAAAACACATAAGCAAACTGAATCCACTGAGTACCAACCAGTATAAAATTCTTAATACACATCGCTAGACAAACCGTGACTAACTTCAGAATATCAAAACCACAAAGTCTTAGATGTTTCCAGAAAAATGTAGACTATCTAAAATGAAGGTATATCAGACTAGTAATGAGATTTCTCATCAGAAATGTCAGATGCAAAATGTTAAAGAAAAGTCAGTATGAACTCAGAACTCTATATCCAGCCAAGCTATCTTTCCATACTAAAGATGAAAAAAGAGACATTTACAGACATTCAAAGAGTCACTCAGAGACTGTGAAAGAAATAAGTATCTGATGATGAAAAATGAACCTACAAGAAAGCACTGAGGTATAAGCAGCAATAGTGAGCAAATAAATGAGTTAAACACATTAATGTTAAACATAAACTGAATTTAATAACAAAACAAAAATTCTTAAAGATATAATGAGAGACTATATTCTTTTTTGGAGGAGAGCTGGAAGGGATTGTTTCAAGATGACAGAAAGCAAAGCAGAAGCATGCTAAATTCTTTTTACAGGGGCCATATCGATACTGACTAAATGTACACTTTGTTAGGAAAACATAAATTTAAGAACTGTGTTGAAATGTGAAGTTAATCTACTAAAAAAAAAACTGAACAAAGAAAACTTGGGGCTAACCTCAGTTAAAAATAAAAGTGATTCCAGCACTTTGGGAGGCCGAGGTGGGCAGATCACCTGAGGTCAAGAGTTTGAGATCAGCCTGGCCAACATGGCAAAATCCCATCTCTACTAAAAATACAAAAATTAGCAGGGTGTGGTGGTGCGCACCTGTAATCTGGGCTACTTGGGAGGCTGAGGGAGGAAAAGTGCTTGAACCCGGGAGGTGGAGGTTGCAGTGAGCCAAGATCACGCCACTGTACTCCAGCCTGGGCAACAGAGCAAGACTGTGTCTCAAAAAACAAGTGGAAAAATAAGGTATAAAAGATACAAAGAGAAGCATATTAAATAATGACAAGAATAAGGTCAAAATATGTCAGTAATCACAATAAAGGTGAATTACCTATTAAAGGACAGACTCTCAGATTGGACGGCAAGCAAAACCTAGATATGATATTTTAAAATAAGAGACCCACTTAAGTTACACAAAATGTCACAGCAAGGCTGAAAATGAAGAGACTGGAAAAAGACATATCTGCAACTATAAGAAGAAACATTCATATTAAATAAGAGTTGAATATGAAAATCAATGTTGACAGAACAATTCACTGTAAGATTTAATATTCATGAACCTTTATGTACAAATAACATCACTCTGAAATATATAAAGCAAAATTTAAATAAAAGGAAAATGCACAGATCCACAATTTGATAAGAAAGTAACAAATCAAGAAACTGACAGATACAGTGGGCAAAAAACCAGGGTATAAAGGATTTAAATGACAATTAACAAGCTTAATCCAAAAAATGTATAGAACCCTGCACCCAACAGAAAATACTTCTTGTGGGAGGAAACTGTAGACAAACTTAACTCTCATAAACTACCTGTGGAACGTGTAATTTAGTAGAGGTATTTTGGAGGCAAATTTAGCAAGACCTATTAAAACTAAAAATACTCACAGCTTAAAACCAAGCAATTCCACTTTTACGTATAATATCCTTGACAAATAGTACATGTGCACAAGAAAACACAAAGATTTTCCTTGCAGCATTGTTGTATGGCAAAAAACTGGAAACCTAATGTTTTCAAGAGAATGGCAATAAAATGTGCTATACAGCACACATCAAACAAAATAGGATTTAACAAAAAGACCAGTAAAAGAGACAAAGAGAAATATTTTATATTAACAGATCAATTGAGTCATACACTGGAACACCATGCAGCAGCTAAAAGAAATGATCCATAAATAACATAATGACCTATAAATAACATGTACAGGCTGCAAAACCAATGTCAAGAAATAAAGCTACAGAATGATGTAGTATGGTATTTTTCCACTAAAAAAATACAAACGTATATATTCACCTATATAGAATATGTAACAGTATTAAAAGGTGTAAGTATTAAAAAACACTTGACAACTCTGTACCAAAGTCTCTAGCAGGAGTAGGGAGGGAGAGGAGTGAGGGAACATTCCTTCTACAAAACTTTCAAAGAACAGAGAATTTTTATTATATAGGAACTTCCAAGCAGGAAAAATACGGGAAGCTACTCAACTGTTTCTATGAGATAAACATAACCTTGACACGCAAGAAAAAACTCAAGGTCAAAATGTGGATTGTGCTCTTTATCTACAAGGTATCAATTTTGTAATAAAAGTGTACTTAATTTTTAAAAATGAAGTATATATAAATGTTCAAAAAGGAATTGTTCATTTTAAAGCTTTTTATAGCATATTGTCAAACTCTCTTCCAGAAAGGTTCTACCAATTTATACTTCCACTTAAGCACATTCAGTAATAGTTTTATTTACTTTTTTTTTAGACATGAGGTCTCATTATATTGCCCAGGGTAGTCTTGAACTCTGGACTCAAGCGATCTGCCCCGCCGGCCTCCCAAAGTGATGGGATTACAGATGTGAGCCACCGTGCACGGCCATAGCTTTGTTTTTTTTGGGACGGAGTCTCGCTCTGTCACCCACGCTGGGGTGCAGTGACGTGATCTCAGCTCAATGCAGCCTCTGCCTCCCGGGTTCAATCGATTCTCCTGCCTCAGCCTCCCGAGTAGCTGGGATTACAGGGGCCCACCACCACACGCCTGGCTAATTTTTGTATTTTTAGTAGAGACGGGGTTTCACCATGTTGGCCAGGCTGGTCTTGAACTCCTGACCTGAGGTGATCCGCCCGCCTCAGCCTCCCAAAGTGTGGGGATCACAGGCCTGAGCAACCGCGCCGGCCCGTATCTTTGTTTTTAAGCAGCTCTCAGCAGCGTTCACACCTGAAAATTTGAAAACAACTGAACGTGCAAAAGTGAAACATATTTCCTGGAGAAAATCTGCAAAATACAATCAAGTATGAAAGAGAAAATTTAAACACCATCCCATCATCCAGAGACAACAGGTGTTAATATTTCAGAGAGTAAATGGGCTTAAAAAACTTTTTTCCCCTTCTTTTTCATTTTGGCATAATAATTAAGCCAGTCTGCTTTGCTTCAATGTATGGTCCCTCTTCGTTTCTAAAAATAGGCCTTAAAAACACACTGACCATTTCCTATCGGCTCCTTACGTTTTAATTATAACGACAGAACCACGGGTTAGTCACGCTTCTAAGTATTTCACGTGTTCTTATTTAATCCCCCTAACAGTCATGTGGCTTACATTGGCAGCTCGTTTGCTGATGAGGAAGCTAAGGCATGTCATACCATAAGTGGCAGACACAAAATAAGGAACCAGGCAGCATGGTTTCAGAGCCTATGCTTTGGTTACTCCATTTGACTTCTTCAAAGTTACTCCTCTCTTTGGCCTCATGCATTAATATTTACAGAGCTCACTGCAGCTTTCCACATGCCAAAGAGCACAGTTAGTTACATATCTTTCCTTACTTAATTACTTACTGGGCTGCGGCTGATAGCGAGTTAGAAGTGTTACTATCTAATCTGAACTCAGTTATCTTGGATGAATGACTGAACTTGCTGTATTTAAAGGCTCGTGTAATCTTACCTGTGAAATGGGCTAGTGGTTAAACCTTCAAGTTCTGCTTCTGGGTTTTATACTGCTGTCCATTTCCTGCCGCCCCTTTGACAGCCTCACGTTCCCAGCAGCTTAGGAATCACCTCATAAAGGCTGCACCCTGAGACAGACAGACAGGCTGAATGAAATGGAGGTTGAGAACTCAGTGCGCCCGCGGCCCCTTCTGCAGCCAGGACTGTACTTGGGTGCCAGGAGAAGGCAGGCTGCAAGGGCTGGGGTCCAGCCCCTGCTCGGGCGGCCGAGGGCTCCGCGGCGTTGTCAGGTCCTCCGAACCGCCCGGCTAGAGGAACTGTCGGGGGTCACCCACCGCGGTGCCTTGGTTTCACCTCGCTCCGCTGCGTTTTCTACGCTGCCCGCCTGACCTGGGGAGTGATCTCTCCCAGCTCCGTTGGCGAGGCTGGGTTCCTCCGCGGGTGGGACTCTCTTCTGACGCCAAGCCGCCCAGACCCCCCGAGCGCAGGTGCCCTCTGGCCGGGAAGTACTTCACCATTAACTAGCCTTCATCTCAACCACAACAGTCCCGCCTCGCCTCCACCCGGGATAAGGCACAGCGGAACCTCCGCCGGGGACCAGGCCGACCCACCTAAAGCGATCACTACATGGGAGGAGTCGGACGCCGGCCGTCCCACCACCCAGCCTGGAGCCCATTGATTGGTCGCACTCCCTACTGGTTCACGCCTCAGAGACTCGGCGCGCTTACCGCTGGCACCGCAGTGGCGCCCGAGCGCGCCGCCTCTCGATTGGCTGCTAGCGCTCTCGGCTTGTCTCGCGCTCTCTCGCTGGGCCAATGGAGTTACTCGTAGTCGAGAGGCCGGCATCACTGGAGTGGTGGCGCAGCTGTTTCCTCCGGTAGGTGTGGGGCTGCCATCTTGTGTGTGGCTGGGACTGGGCTTCTTGGGGGTTGAAAACTTATATAGCGTCTCGCCGTAGTGGAGGGGTCCAGAGAGAACACTGGGGTAGAGGAGAGGCCTAAGGGAGGAGACCCAGCGCCTTCTCACTTGCGGAAAGGATGAGTTTCCTTCCTGGGCCTGAGTCTCATCCCTGGCTAGAGAGAGCGAGGAGTGGTGATGGTGGTAGTTGTGGTGGTGGTTGTGGTGGTGGTAATAGTAGGGATCCCAGGTTTTGGTTTGTTGGTCGTTGCGGGGGCTGGGCGGTGTCTTTGATGCCTTAACATTCACGCCTTGGTTCCGGGGAGCTCTTTAGTAATCGTTGTCTCACAAAGATTCTGGCCATCAACCCCCTTTGACAAAGGAGGCTAGCTGATGAACTGCCTGATTGAGAAAGAAGCAAAGCTAGTAATGGAAGGGGAGTGCCTCACTACTATTCTCAGGTTCAAAAGAGACCTCCTCTTCCGTCATTTTCGAGGGAGCGGCTGCTAAACTGCTCTTCGCGAGGGTTACTCTTTGAGACCATCCTTTAGTAATAGTGGGGGTCAAGTTCTGCGTTTGGGCAAGATTGTTCTTTAGCGGGCATTCAAGCATTCCTACAGCTGTCCTTTTTTTTTTTTTCTTCCTTCATTTTAAGCTAGAAAGTAGTGGTCTTGCGGAAACGGGACGTGAAGGAAGAATTTTGTCAAATCTTGATTTCCGCGATAACGATATATTATAAATCTCTGGGTCTGCCATGACGTGCTTGGTCACTTCATGGAGCAGGAGGAGGCTTTGTTAGGGAAAGCACCTTAATTTCTGCGCTCTTTCTGGGTGGGAGGAAGAAGACAGGACTTAACCTCGTTTTCCTTCCTCCCTTTTTTTTTTTTAGCATTGTAATGGACGGCATGCATTGTCTTTCATTTGAGGGGAAAATGTATTGGATCTGAAGAGCAAGCTGATGAAAGGCTTAATATTTTGTGGTAGATTTTAGCAGTTTGACTTGCATGAAAAGAAAGCCAATATATTATTGCCTTGAGCTTAGATTTCAGTTATTCAGCATTAACTGATGAACAACCGAATCAACAATACATAATAAAGACATCTCCCATCAGGAATACCAAACAACAAAACAAACAGCAAAATAATTGATGTTTGTTTGTTTGTTTTTGTCGCCCAGGCTGGAGTGCAAAGTGTAATGGTGCAATCTCGGCTCACTGCAACCTCTGCCTCCCTGGTTCAAGCGATTCTCCTGCTTCAACCTATTCTCCTGCTTCAACCTCTTGAGTAGCTGGGACTACAGACACCAGCCACCCTGCCCAGCTAATTTTTGTATTTTTAGTAGAGATGGGGTTTCACCATGTTGGCCAGGCTGGTCTTGAACTCCTGACCTTAGGCGATCTGCCCGCCTCAGCCTCCCAAAGTGCTGGGATTACAGGTGTGAGCCACTGCACTGGGCCTAACTGATGAATTTAAAATTCATTTTGGGCAGGGCTCCATGGCTTAACGCCTGTAATCCCAGCGCTTTAGGAGGCTAAGGAGGGAGGATTCCTTAAGGCCAGGGGTTCGAGACCAGCCTGGGGAACAGCGAGACCCATGTCTACAATAAAAGCCAAAAAATAGCTGGGTATGGTGTCATGTGCCTGTTGTCCTAGCTACTGAGGAGGCAGAGATGAGAGTTTGAGGCTGCAGGGAGCCAACCACTGCACTCAGCCTGGGCAATAGAGTGAGATCCCAACTCAAAATAAATATAAAACACATTTTTAATTCCTTTTTTTATTGAAGAACCTTATAAAACCTAAGTTGCAAGAATTCAGGTATCGATAAAGTGGTGTTGATTTGGTAGCTAAAGTACATGTCAGGAAAAGTTATCAAGATCAGCTGAAAGATCCTGGGTAAGAAACATCAATAACAGTAGGAGGTCAGTACTAAATAATAATGCTGTTTAGCATTTAGATACAAATGCTAAAACATTGGTATCTCATTCACTGCATATATTAGATAATATAATTGTTCAATGAGTCAGTAAAAGAATGCAGTAATTGGGAGGTATGGATATACCTTTTTTTTTTTTTAGCCTAATTGAAAAATAATTGTTGAATCTGCTTCCTGGAACACTTGACTTTCAATTTGGATTAAATGTATTATTGTATCCAGTTTAAACATACAAATAATGTTAAGGATAGGTTCATAATCCTTGGTCTTTACAAAAAAATTTTAAAGGCAGAAAATTTAGATAACTAAGGTGAGTCCTCAAGTGATAATGCTCTATTTGCCATTGTTTTCTTGAAGGCACATAAAATCTTTTTTTTTTTTTTTTTTTTTTTTTTGTGGAAAAAATTTTTTTTTTTTTTTTTTTTTTTCTGGAGACAGAATCTTGCTCTGTTGTCCATGCTAGAGTATGCAGTGATGTGATCTCAGCTCAGTGCAACCTCTGCCTCCCAGGTTCAAGTGATTCTTGTGCCTGTAGCTGGGACCACAGGTGTGTGCCACCACACTCAGCTAATTTTTGTGTTTTTAGTGTAGACAGAGTTTCACCATGTTGGCCAGGCTGGTCTCGAACTCCTGACCTCAAGTGATCTGCCCACCTCGGCCTCCCAAAGTAGGTACAGGCATCTTCTATGTGGTTAAGATTTAAAACTTCAAATCCTTACCTTTTTCTTTTGTCCAGCTGGGTAGCTTCAGTCTCCAAAATGCCTTTCCTTTTCATCTTTCTACTCTCACGGTCACTGCCTTAATTTAGCTTCTATTTTTCTTTTTTAAAAAAACATTTTAGGCCAGGCGTGGTGGCTCACACTTGTAATCCTTGCAGTATGGAGGCCGAGGCTGGGGGATTGCTTGGGCCCCGGAGATAGAGACCAGCTGAGCACCGTGGTAAAATGCTGTCTTTACCAAAAATACAAAAGGTTAGCCAGGCATGGAGGCATGTGCCTGCAGTCCCAGCTTCTTGGGAGGCTGAGGTAGGATCACCTGAGCCCAGGAGGTTGAGACTGCAGGGAGCCATGATTGTGCCACTGCACACAGAACTAGACTCTGTCTCAAAAAAAAAGAAAGTTTTAAAATAAAAAACATTTTTTCATTTCTAGAAGCCAGGAAATAAAAAAAAAAAATCTTAGTGCTCCCTTAGCAGCACATACACTAAAATTGGAACTATACAGAGAAGATTAGCATGGCTCCTCTGCAAAGATTACATGCAAATTTGCAAAGCATTCTGTATTTAAAAAACCAAACATTTTATATGACATTGTATTATTCACAAAGCCTACACTCCTCAGTTTGGAATTTCTGTTACTTAAGATAGAGGTTTGGCTACTGTGATGGAGAAATTTAAAAATAATTGTGGCCTTAATACAATTTTTTCCAATGGAAAAATATGAGCTGATCAGGGGGCTTTCCTACACACAGTTGTCAGGGGCCCACACCCCTAGCATATTGCTCTGCCATTCTTAATGCAGCTGTATCTTGAGGACCAAGATGACTGCTTCACATCCTACTGTTATATAGTACATGCTTAAATTGAAGGATAGGGTAAAATGTGTTATGGTAGGGGACACAATATTTGCAAGTGGTAGTAGGAGTAGGATTTTATTTCACTGCCTTAATTTTTTAAAAGTCATTTTTACATTGTCACAGGAAAATTTTTAAGTAACAGTTATATTACTGCTGTTAGGATTTCATGGGCTTTTAATTGTTCTTTCAGGTTCCTGACAGTTCTATTGCGGAGAGAGGAGGGTAACTTGTGCCTTTCAAATACTGTGCTTGTGGCCTATATTGTTACTTGCAGTCCTGGAGCCTACTTTGTACTTTGCATTTCTCTCTGTAGAAATGGTTCCCGCAGCCAAAAATCACTTTTTTTTGTTTTTTTGAAACGTGGTCTCGCTCTGTTGCCCAGGCTGGAGTGCAACGGTGCGATCACAGCTCACTGCACCCTCTGCCTCCTGGGTTCAAGCAATTCTTCTGCCTCAGCCTCCTGAGTAACTGGGTTACAGTCACCCACCACCATGCCCGGCTAATCTTTGTATTTTTAGTAGAGACGGGTTTCACCATGTTGGCCAGGCTGGTCTCGAACTCCTGGCCTCAAGTGATCCACCCAATCTCCCAAAGTGCTGGGATTACAGGCATGAGCCACTGTGTCCAGACCACATTCTTTCGAAAATAATTGGTGCTTAGATCAACAGCTTCCTCCTTTTTGTTTGTTTGTTTGTTTTTGAGGCAAAGTCTCCCTGTCACTTAGGTTGGAGTGCAGTGATGCGATCTTGGCTCACTGCAGCTTTGACTTCCTGGGCTCAAGCGATCTTCCCACCTCAGCCTCCCTAGTAGCTGGGACCACAGATATGTGCCACCATGCTCAGCCAATTAAAATTTTTTTTTTTTGTAGAGACACGGTCTCCCTGTGTTGGGCTGGTCTTGATCTCTTGGGCTCAAGTGATCCTCCCACCTCCGTCTCCCAACGTGCTGGAATTACAGGCACGAGCCACTGCACCTGGCCGCCTCCTTGAAATATAGACAGATTTCATTCAATCACAATCTTTTTTTACTCTGTACAGTTGACCCTTGAACAGCATGGGTTTTACCTATTTGGGTCCTCTTATACACAACATTTTTTCAATAAATATGTTGGAAATTTTTTTTGGAGATTTGTGACAGTTTGAAAAAACTCACACATGAGCCACGTAGCTTGGAAATATTGAAAAAATTAAGAAAAAGAC